AAATACACTCAACTCAAGTCAAATACACTCAACTCAAGTCAAATACACTCAACTCAAGTCAAATACACTCAACTCAAGTCAAATACACTCAACTCTGCAAAATCAAGGAAATTTCCATACATGGCTTACACCGATCGTCTATCACTATTTGTAGTACTTATAAGTGCTCGTCCTACGTCTATGTTCAAGTCAAGTCTACCGTTGCGAGCTGTGCATCGACCTCTTCTCCTCGTGTTATGTCACGCTTGTTCTGGCTGGGGCGAATACCGCATGTTTTCCAACCCCAAAAGGACTGGCGTCATCACTGCTTCGTCGTCCAGGAAGACTGGACGGCTCGAACACACTACGGCGGGCAGGACCAAATTTGCCTCAGCAATTCTTACTCCAATACAGCTTGGCCATACGCGGCAACGTGTCAAACGAGCTGAAGTTGCCGTCGGCAGGGATCCAGTCACTGGTATTGCCGGGGAGGTACTTTGCCGCGGCGGCAGTGAAGAAACTCGTGGCATAGACGTCGACGAGAGTCGAGTCTGAAATATTCGCCACACTGACGTTTGCCTGGACGTAGTGCGGCATCGCAGCGTTTCCCTGGTCGATGTGCACGGTATTATCGCCGTCGGAGCCCAGATCATCTTTCGTGACGTAGCCCAACGTCCTGACCAGACTCGTGTCGTTGACGGCGCGCTTGTAGACTTTGTCTGTCTGCAAGTTGAGCAGCAGGTTCTTGGCCGCGGACCACGGAGCAGTCAGACGCCGCCAGTAGTTCTGATATGGGTTGGTCTGATAGGCATTGTCAATGGTGAAAGGTCCCTTCAGTAGATCGTAGCGGAAACCGCCTGTGTTGGTGAGAACGATGCGCGGCATGTCGGTACGCTCCGCGTCGACAATGACTTTCGGGAAGACGGCGGTGGTTAGGTAGTGGAATAAGCTCAGGTTCGAGCTGATCGGGTATCGACTCAAGTAGTAGCTGTCCGGAACACAGCCAAGCTTTTGGGTCAGTTCCGGAAGGGTATTGATGGCGCTGGTTATATTCTCGCTAATGCCCTCCCCAAGACTAGTGTTGAACGTCTGCTCCGTCGTAGACGTATGGAATTCAAAGCTGTACCGATTGAAATCCAGGTATTGGCGTGTGTAGGACAGATCGGACTTGTGGTTGGGCTTGACACCAGGGACGGCGGAAGGAGACTGCGTGATTTTGGTCGCGTTGCCTTGTGGTGAGTTCGCCTGAGTTACGTTCTTGGGTAGGCCGTTGACGGATACCCATCCAACGGTTTCGCAATATCTCCCTGAGGCTATGCCGACCGCATTTGCATCAAATACCACGGCATCACGCACGTGCCGGTGACCGCCGAAAATTTGGATGGGCGTAGTGGGATGGTGCTGACGGATTGCGGCGTATATTAAACCCCATTCAGTTGAGTTGCGTAGGGTGATGTGCCCAGCGACCACGAACATGTCAATGTCCGACCTCTTGACTTGCTGCTGGAACCACGATTGCTTGACAGCATCACCAACCGGAGTGACCACGGTTGCATCGCTGTTGCCGGTAAAGTTGAAGATGAAGGCAAAAGACATGATTCTGACACCAAACTTCGTCCTCCAGTAAGCGTACCGTTGGGAGAAGGGCTTGAGCACTCCGGTATCGTTGAACTCAACATTGGAGGTGATATAGCGACCAGCCCAGTAAGGCGCGAAGTTGTGATAGGTATCGTTTGCAATCCCAGTTGTGTAGAGCTCATGGTTCCCGATTGACAACAGATCGTAGGGCAACTTCTTGAAGATGGGAAGTGTGAGTCTGCCATTGGGAGTTGTGGCATCGCCAAATCCAGTTCCATCGTGAAGGTCGCCTGAGTCGATGAGCAGGAGGTCGACCCCGAGAGCGTCGGCCTTTGCTTTCATCTTCTGGACAAAATCCGCAAAGTCGCCATAGTCGGCGCTGTAGTTCTCGTCGAGTAGGTGTCCTGCTAACCAACCATGCGTATCTGTAGTCTGTAGGAAATTGATCTGTCCCCAATGCAAGCCTTTGATCTGCTGCGGGGGAGTGACCATTGCTTGTGGCTGTATTCGCTTCATGAGATCATGTTTCTTCATCAGTCCGTGATCGACATAGCCTCCCAGGACAGGCGAAGTCCAGTCATGGTCCTCGCAACCATAGCCCGGCCGCAGGAAAGGCGTGAGGGTGAGGAACAAGCTTAGCAGCATGATGATGAGGAACTCTGAGCAGCGAGGGATCTATCAAGATGCAAGTAAACCTTCGCGGTCAGCCCACAACAAGCAGAATCCCATCTCGAGGCAGGACATCGGAGCTGTCCTGATGAGGGTCCATCTTTCAATGAGCTGCATGGCAGCAGAGATAAGAACAAGGTGCAGCTTCGAGAATACGGCATGCCTCAGGGCCTATGCACGGTGGTTACATCGTGTGGGTTAGGAGAAGGGCGCAACAGCGCAGAGAGATCAACAGACAGTCGACGGCTGGACACTGGAGGGGCTGCCAGATGACGTACGGGCGGATGTACCATCTAATAGGTGCCTACCATTATTTCGCACCCGCACTAAACCTGATATCAGAGGTTGGATCAGCCACCAGTGCGAGATCATGCTTATTAGGCAACCCGCAGATTCTCCATATCAGACACCTCCGGCGAAGGTTTGGCGCAGCACGAAATACAACAGCGCCATAAACTCCAGAGCCTGACTGAGAGCTATCGAACAACCTGGACTTCCACTCCGTTACGAGGACGACAATGCAGAGACCTTCAATACTAGAACAAGGCAAGGCGCCGGCGAAAGCACCGGCCGTCTTCATTTTATTTTTCTTTGTGCGAGGTACTATCACCAAACATCGCTCTACATTCCATGGTCATAGCCAACATCATACTCAACAAATGGCCGGATTTACAGCATAAAGCCCCTGTACAGTGTCAGCCGTAATGTGTTTCTCACCTAGCCATCGAAAGTCAGACTCACCTGATTCTGCAGTGCCACACCGGCCAGCCTCGCTTGGGCGTCCTCCTCGTCATCCAAGAGTTCATCAATCTTCTTAACGTCGTCAATGACCCAGAATTCCGCGAAAGCCTTGACTACCGCTTTGGTATGCTTCTCAACCACATCATCATCCACTGCTGCAAAGCATAGTCGGAAGTATTGCCACCCCTTTTCAGATACGAGCTCTGGCGTGGGAGAGAACATTGCCCCAGGGCTGAGTAGTACCAGGTACGGTTTGATGGTCATGAACATCCACAAGGCCCGAGCGAGCCGCTCATGCGTGACGTCTTGATGCAAGGGATGTGTTTGGTAGTGGACTCGCATCCAGAGAAACATACCAGCCATTGGATACGCGAAATCGTAAAGCTGTGTCTTGTGAAGCAGTTCATAGTCATCCTCATCCGGTGCCGAAACACTCGACGGCCGCGGAGAACTCTGAATCAGGTATTTACCGTCCTCGAGAATTGTACTCATCAGTTGCATTCGTCGTTCGTAATTGCCACGCAATCCCTCGAGCCATCGCACCCACCCTTCGACTGCCCACCCGCTGCCATCTTTGCTGCCGCCCTTACCCGGGTCCCCATTCGTCGAAGGCCCCAAGATGAGTTCAGCAATCAAGCTCTGAACAAATCCACTAGGTTGCTGTGTAGTAGTCTCAGTGATGCGTTGGATTCGCTCAATCATGGCCGGCTGGGCCGTAATCCATCCCAGCCGGCATCCGGGAGCCACGGTCTTGCTGAAAGTGTCTAACCGGACCACTCGTCCATCAACATCAATTGACAGATACGAAGGCACAAGGCTGTCCAAGAACGCAAACCCGCTAGACTTGCCCCCAGACGAGGCATTGTAATTATGTGACGGGTCGATAGGGAAATTCTCCGAAACAGGCTTACCCCGAGTCTTGATCGAGAGCTGGTTCGCAGAAGGATATTGGAGATACCAGTATGGCTCATCTTCAATGATGATGATGTCGTACTTCTGGCATAGTGAGTAGATCTCCGTGCGTCTCTTCACCGATAGCAGCCCTGACGTAGGATTCTGACCCATTCTGTGCAAATCAGCCAAGGTCTGCGACACCACTTGTTCATACTCACGTCACGGTATACATCAGATGTGGCCTCTTGCCCTTGTTCTTGTCCCAGTTGGTCAGGACCTCTTCTAGACCTCCCTTACCGTAAGCGAGCATTCCCTCGTCATCAATAGCCACAGGCACCACATTGAGGCCACGAGGTTTGGTAGCTTGGATGGCATTCATATAAGCAAACTCTTCACATAAGATGCCCTCTCTTTCCCGGATCCAGTCCCTGTCTTCATCCCAGATATTACTGAAGCATTCAATGGCTTTGGAAAACCCATCAGTAGATCCGCACGTCAGGATGACTTCCGGCCCACCCTTGTATGGAACATTGGGATGCAAGTTCTTCTGCGTGAAGGATCGAATGAAACTGTAGAGGGGGGGATACCCCTGAGCCGTGCCATATTGTAAGGCAGTGGCCAAATCAATCTTTCGCAGGATATTTGGTTCGGCTGAATCGTGAGGCACAAGAACTCTGGAGGCAGCAGGACCTTCGGCAATCGTAAAATTGGCCAGTTCCGTCGCGGGGGGGTCAACAGGCTTGTTAGGCGTCGGTCGGTGTCGATCCGGGAGGGCAGTTGATGCCTCCAATGTATCGTAGGGGAAGTAGGCAGCATTCGGGAGACCTCGACATAGTGAGCTAAAATGACGTGCTTCATCGGCCAAGAACGTACCTCCAGCAAGATTGCCTATGCCAGGAATCAAAAAGTATTTGTAGAATTGTTTGATGTTACTGGCATCGCGTTTCTTGGTGACTCGAGAGAAATGGTAGGACAGGTCCTTGGGCTCAAGCTTCTCCTCGGTGGATGCCATTGCGGCGTAGCGAAGCTGGAGCGTTGAGATAAGGAAGTCCAAATGAGATCTATCAAATATCAAGATTCGATCAAGGGCAGCCGACCCAACTCAGCAATAGGCCAGTACAAGAAGCGGTGCACGTATGAAGGCTGCAGGGATTGCATATATGGGCAAGGGAAATAGGCATCATTGAGGCATCTGATGATGCACCACGCTGATAAGTGTCGATAAGCCCGATGTGGAAGCCAGGGCTCCGAAAGCCCCGCGCGGATGGCTGCGCCCTTCAGTCTCTTGTGTCACGATGTTACTCCGGACATCTTCACCACCCAATCAATATCGCAACGCTTCATCCAGCTTACTAACCAGTGACACATTTGTACGCTCTTCTGATGGACGACACATTCTGGTCCAGTGGCACACAGGCCCCTCCACACTTCTCGACATTAGGCCGCCGATAGCTTCATAGCTGGGCAAGTACGGTTAGTAAAACATGGCAAGCTTGGATGAGACATATAGGAACGACAATAGAGCTTAAAGCTGGAAGAGGGTAGATGCTACGCAGTCAGGTTGCAGGAGAGAGCGGCCGAGATCAATGGGCACCATTGTAAGGGATGTTGACAGAAGCTTCCGTCGTAATCGGGGGAGTCTATTGGTGCTCTTACACACCGTCAGAGGTTGCAACAAGTTTACTTTATGCCATGGAGTTTGTTGGCTTCAAGCTCTCCCATGTCTGGATGCTAATGCAGGGTAACAAGCATGATTGCTGGGTTGATGCTGGAACCGACACGAGCTGAGATATGCGAATGATGGTCAAAAGAGGTAACATCGAGACACCAGACGGGCAACGCAAGCACTTCCTCGGCCACCCAGGGACCCAGCGACCTTGAATTGAATGTGACGAAGCCTTAGCTACGGCAACACTGCGCACCGCGAGTGACATCCACCTGAGCACCATCTGTCCACAGTCGCTCACAAGTGTCGCGGTCCGAAGCGATATGTTGAGCTAAGTTCAGGCATAAGGAACGTACAGTTAGGTCGCGCTACATTAATAATTGTACGGATACATGCGAGTTTTGAATTTCGATCAACAACTACCGGGCAGGTACATATTAGCAGCTACTACGTACCTAATGTATCATGAGGCGACTTATGAGGCCGGGCTAAATCATCACTGCGACTAATTTGGAGGGGCTTTAACCTAAATTTAGGCTCGGGGTTAGTTGATACTCTAAACTCACAACCCGTAATTACTACATACGCGTACGGAGATGCGTCCTCCAAGGCGAGAGGTTCGCTTGCTTCTTTCTTACCTGTAGGTGCCTGTATCCGCAGTGCTACTCTGCTACATCATGTTCCCTACATCTCCAAATCTACCTAGTAGTACTTACCCAACATGTTAGCCGAGGGACGCTTGCTGACGTGGTGTGACCTAAACCCAGCATCTCGTCCTTTTAACGCCCTGTTCCAGGTCCGCGTTTCGAGTTCCAGACCCTTGAAGGGGACACTCCTCTGGCTTGTACCAATCATTGGGGAGGGCAAAACGTGACATACACCGGAGCGGCATGAATCACAAGCGGTTCTAGTGGACATGGCCTAGCAAAGGCTACTCCTGCAACATGCGCTGCATGTCCGGTGATGGATGTGCGGCATGGCAAGAAGTTCCAAACCCAACCATATGCCACAATAGCCCATTTCAGCATGTGGACAGCTCAGCCGAAATGTGCTATACCGCCATTAAGACTACAGAGCACCGCGCTTCTTTTCGTACTCATAACCACTACGTTGCTTCGTGGACCGACGCATAAGCCTCCGTTTCAATGACATCTCCATTGTCGACTTCTACACCTATGCGCCATGTCCCACACGTCGAACACTGAAAGCAATGACACTCAGGATCATCCTCTCGCCGCAGAGGCTCAACCCTATGAAGATGATTCTGCAATCGGAGATGTAGGGAATCATACTTATGCCCCACGCTGGAGCGCACCGAAACTTACTAGAACCAACAGGACGATGATCTCGACTCCACCGCTTCCTTGACGGCGAGCATTTACAATTTCCGCGAAGAAAATGGGCGGACATACAATAGCTACGGCGATAGAGGTACGATTTATGAGGGTCATACCGAATCATACACCGAGGAGACTGACCTGACTTGTTACTTATAAGAGTATGTCCTGCCCAACGACGAGGTACGAAACCCCGGTGTACGTCTAGAGTCTGTGGCTAATGGACAATTATGACAGCAAGAGCTAGATCGCTTAGGCAAGTATTGTGCTCGATGACTTGGTCGGACCAAGTCACTAATCCCAGCACGCATTAGACCTCCAACATCATCTTCTCAAGATGACCTTTGGCCTTAGTGGATGCGGCATCGACAAGAGAGACGGTATGCGTCGTGTTCTGGACATTGGCACAGGCACAGGTATCTGGGCTATTGAATATGGTAAACTCAGAAATTGGTCTCCTTCCCGCATCCACCAACCTGTTATGCTGACTATGGGGAAAAGGTGATCTCCATCCAGAATCAATTGTGTGTCAACGATTGTCTTATGGCATCAGTGTCAAGGACGAGAACTCACACAACGCAGGTAACAGGCATTGATGTTAGTCCAGTAATGCCATCATTGTGAGTTCTAACAACTCCTTTGCTTGACATTCGATATAACCCGCCGGATTTAACCTACTCACAGTGTTCCCCCAAACGTCCGGTTTGAAGTGGCAGATGTGGAACGGCCGTGGACCTTTTCATATGAGTTCGACTTCATCTTCAGCCGAATGATGACCGGGGCAATCAGCAATTGGAAGCAGTTGATCCAACGGTGTTTCGAGTAACATGCCCCCCCTCAGACGAGCGGATCCCGAACATCACGCTGACCCTGACATAGCAACCTCAGCCCCGGGGGCTTTTTCGAACTCCAGGACATATCTTTCAATCTTCGCTCGGATGATGGAACGCTCTCGGAGGACTCGGCGCTGGCAAAATGGGCGGCATATATGCTGCATGCCAGCGTCAACGTCGGCTCACCCCTCAATAGTGTCGAATCGGTCAAATCGCTCATGATCGATGCCGGCTTCGTGGATGTAGTGCAGCATCGGTACTACTGGCCGCAAAATTCGTGGCCAGCTGACCCCAAGCTTAAGAAAATCGGTGAGTTGTCAACTCTTGAACCCACTCAGCTGCTGTGCCCGCAATCTAACGCAGCCGCCTCTAGGGATATGGACATATCACGACTTTACTTGCTCTCTCTCGGGTATCAGCATGGCCTTATTTACTCGGGGACTAGGCTGGACTGTTCCCGAGCTGGAGACGTTCCTGATTGACGTAAGAAAGGACATGAAGAATACGTCGATCCACGCATATTGGCCCATGTTCGCAATATCTGGCAAAAAGCCTGATCATCCGGCGGCAGAGGCATAGTCAGATGACAAAGATCAGCGGAAGCGAACACCACGAAGTCGTTGGAGGATGCTATTGAGCTGCTGGCTGCGGGAAGCGATCACATAGCCGCATATGTGATCATCCCACGAGGGGGAGCTAAGGCCTTAGGGCCCCTTAGCCCTTAGGCCACGGCTTCAGCAGGTTTCGGGCTTCTTAGCCATCTGGGCGGGGAAGGAGGAAGCCGTATCACTGGCTGGGGCTGCCTACTGTGCATACCCTCCTACGTGCTACTGTAAACCCTGTCTAGGTGCCGTCCGGGGGCTAGGAAGGCTGCTGCCGGTGGGAACCCCCGTCTGTGGCCTCCCCGGGGGCAACGCTGGCTACCTACAAACCTGATCTACTGTTCTCCGTACAGTAGTGGTATGTATTTATGCATCTTCAAGCCCGCGGGCGATGTTCAATGTTCATTCGTACTACTAGGATCCCTACCTGGTGTGCCAGGCGCAATATGTCATCCTGGTACGAGCACTCCGTACTCCGAATGTAAGGTAGGTATTGCCCTCAGGGACAGCCGTAATCCCACTTCTGTCCGCCTCTTCAACTTGTCACCACATCTCCAGTGCCTCACAAACCCATCATTATGCTATCAATTCTGTTGGCCGGAGCATTGCTGTTCCTCTACCTGCTCCTCACTTCTCTCTACAGCTGGTACCGCCTACGGCATATCCCTGGACCCTTCTGGGCGGGTATCTCGAAGCTTTGGCTGTTCAAGCACACATGGGATGGGTCCATGTACCTGACATCCGCCGAGGCCTGCTTTAAACACGGTAAGGGACTATCCGTAGAGAGTACTCATGCTATCTCCGCTCGCTTCGACTTCCTGCCTTGTATCTGCGTGAAACCAACCCTTACTATGTCTAGGATCGTTGATTCGTATCGGCCCCAACGAGTTGATCACTAGCGATCCAAATGTTCTGAGATATATTCTCTCCGTCCGCTCGCCGTATCATAGGGCCGACTGGTACGAGGCTATACGAATCGACCCTGACCACGACAATGTCTTGTCCGAACGGGATGAGGAGAGACATGCAATGCTTCGCACCAAGATGTCGCCAGGGGTACATATGCCAATCACCAGAGATAATCAGCCTTCGCTGTTCAAGACCTCGCTGATCCAAGTCTTTCTAGTATGCAGGAAAAGATGTCCCGAACCTTGAGGAATCTCTGGACAACGTCATCCACAAACTCGTTTCCCTGATAGAGACAAATTACTTGTCCACAGATACCGAATACAGGCCCATCGACTTTGCGCGCAAAGCACAGTACCTGACCCTTGACATCATCGGTGACATCGGATTTGGAAGAGCATTTGGGTACCTCGACGAGGATAAGGACATGTTTTCATACATTTCCACCACCGAGGCCACAATTCCCATGATCATATTGGTTGGCGCTTTTCCCTGGCTGGCAAAGGTTGTGCAATCGCCCCTCTTAAAGGCCTTCCTGCCCAAGGATACTGATGCTTACGGCCTGGGCAAAATCATGGGGTAGGTTTTTTTCTGCGCAGTAGTGATTATTTATAAGAGACTGTGCTAACCTTTGACTACGATTTATCAAGGCTCGCTAAGCAGGTCGTGACTGAGCGTTTCCAACCAGATGCCAAACCTCACATGGACATGCTGGGCTCCTTTATCCGACACGGCCTGTCACAGGAAGACGCTGAATCAGAAACCATGGTGCAAATGTAGGTCGGATCGGAACAACGCAGCTACAGACTGGTCTGACAAGAGCTAACCTTGAAATCTCAGCCTTGCCGGCAGCGACACCACCGCCTCCGCCACACGCGCAACAATGTTGCATCTAATCACTAACCCTCGCGTCCTTTCGAAGCTGCTCGCTGAATTGAAGGCCAATCAAATCTCCGATCCCATCACCGACTCTGAAGCCCGCAGACTCCCCTACCTCCAAGCTGTCATCAAGGAGGGTCTCCGCATCCACCCACCAGTGACCGGCCTGATGCTGAAAGATGTGCCACCCACTGGCGACACTATCAATGGGTACTTTGTGCCGGGCGGGACAAAACTCGGATACTGTGCGTTTGGACTCTTCTGGGATCCCAAACTCTGGGGCTCGGACGCGCGAGTCTTCCGCCCAGAGCGCTGGCTCGAGGGGTCGCCTGAGGAGATTCGACAGAAAGAGGCCAATCTCGAGCTTGTATTTGGACATGGTCGTTGGCAGTGTCTAGGCAAGAGCATTGCCCAGATCGAATTGAACAAGATCTTTGTACAGGTGAGTAGATACACTACCATGTTTTCTAGACCTTTGCCTGCCGTGGACATTGGTTAAACCAACATTCCCAACGACGACGGGAGCGTGATCTCAGACAAAGCTGCCTAATTCTCAGCAGCGTCGATGAGAAGTGAATGTGTGATCTGTGAATGGAAAGCTAACTTGATCTCTGTCTTTGACGTCTAGCTCCTTCGGAACTTTGAGTTCAGCATTGTCGATCCCACGAAGCCATGGAATTCTTTCAATGCCGGAGTCTTTATCGTCAGCGACATGTGGATGCGAGTCACCAAGCGAGACCCGAAAATCTAGGGGTCGAGGTAAATCAGAGGCGCGGGTAGTGGTTACGATGAGGACGGCAACAGTTGCATCGAGCAACTGAGGAGCAATAGCTCGACGAGGGACCACAAAGTTGTGTCAATAGCTGGGTGTGCCTTCAGTCAGCGGTCTCGGTTGTCTCAAATGTACTCGGTAGACGGCTGGGAGGGAGAGTTCTACCCTAACCCTAACCCTAACCCTAACCCTTTACGCATGCCTCAGGTGCGGTATCGATAAGCTCCAGCCTCGGTCCAGGCTGGCATCTGCAAGGCACCGGTGCACTGTGGCAGCCTGAGCCTCCCTCCTGTATGACGCTGTAGTAAGAGGCTTGATGTGCTTGATCTTCAGACGCCTCGTGGATAATATTATGACTATTGATTGATATTCATGATACGTTCTCTCCAAGTGCCCCGACTGCCGGCCGGTGTACATATATTTGGCCCTCTTCAGTTACTGATACTACAGTATGTGGAATCCGCCGTGCAATTGGCCCCGCTGGACCTTACAGTAGGCCAGGCCTTAGGCCTAAGGAGCCTTAGCAGCCCGTCAGTTCATCTGTCTCCGGCGAGGCCGGGTGAGCTGCGCATCAGCCATCAGCCATGCATCCATCCATTCATCCATCCCATCTCCGGCTACTCCGTACATATCTGGGCCGGTCCTACTCTTCAATCCTCTCGCTTCGGTCGTTTGCTTGCACCTCGCTCGGGCGTTTGCTATAGACTTGTCGCTCTGGTAGCAATGTACTTCCGCTGAACAGATTGCATTGTTTGCCTGTCATTTGTGCGGCTATATGTTCAACTGGGAGTACGGATACATTATCGCCAGTCCTCGACTCCAGCATCTCCGTCTCCAGCTCATCCGTCCCCCGCCATGCACCCCGAGTACCGCGACGACGAAGAAAACCTCGTCTCTGACATACCCGCCCTGACTGACGAAGAGCCCGACAACGATGCCGAAAGCCGCGACTTGCACGTCCGGTCCGCCTCGGAGACTTCCGCAACTGCGCTGCCGATCCCCATCTGGCTCCGAGAAGCCTCCCACTCGTTCAAGTACAAATGGGTGCCGTTGCCTGTACGAAAGGCATCTCGGGCAGTGTTCACTTGGGTGAAAGGACCAGTGCCTCCTCGAGTGCTAAAGATTGATCCTATATTCCCCAAGGTCCAACAAGCGCCGATCAGGTTGCTGGACAAGTATGCGCCTAAGAAGAAACACCGGTTCGTGTTACTGGTTGCCCTTTATGCCTGCTGGTTCTTGACGTGGTCACTCATGCTTAAACAGCATGCCACGTCCGGGGCCATCAAGGGATATGGCAAGCCTCGCAATCTGTGGTGCGGCGCCAGTTTCTGGGAAGATGGCAACGGGTGCGGGTTGAACGGAAACCAGTGTCGACCGTTTTCCTCAGCCCATCTGGCCTTCCGCTGTCCGGCCAACTGCAAAGGCACGCATCTTTTGGAAGAACGTTTTGTTGGGAATCAATCACTGCGGTATGAGGGGCTGGTGGTCGGTGGGCCGGATCCGGACGCTCCAGACTCCATCCCCGTCTACCGCGGAGACAGTTTCATCTGCCAGGCCGCGATACATGCTGGCGTCACCACTGACGCCAATGGAGGTTGTGGTGTGGCTACGCTCGTGGGATCGCACACCAACTTCAAAGCGACAAAAGCGCATGGGATCGAGAGCACCGCCTTCCCAGCCACGTTTCCTCGGTCGTTTACGTTCCAGCGCCTGGCGCCATCGCAGGCAAAATGCCCTACGGATTCACGCTGGCCTCTGTTCGTTGTGACGGCGGTCGCGTTGGTTGTGTTGTCCATCTTTACAACATCTCCAGCTGTGTTCTTCTTCAGCACATTCGTCATCTTGTTCCTGCATGTCGGTCTGGTCTCCGACCCACCCAACACGGCCAACATCTACGAGGCCATTAGCAAACTTTTGGAAAGGTTTCTACCAGCGGCATTCATTTCGTACATCTTGTTCCGTACCTCGGCAAAGCCCTTGCTGCGAGGACTCACCGCGCAGATCGAGAAGACGGTGCTGTATCTTGGGTTCTGCTTCATCGGAGCACTCAACAACTACACTTTTGCTCCCCTGATACCCATCGAGAGATTGACGCCACATGATCTCGCACAGCCAGGAGCACCATTCGCTCTGGCGATCATCATCACTGTGGTTCTGGTGATTATCGGGACGCAAATCCACTGGATCCGCGTTTCAGGGAACATGCCCAAATACCTCGCCATCTATGCGGGCATGGGGCTCGCTCTGATCATCTTGCTGGTTCTACCTGGATTCCGGCTCCGGATCCACCATTATATTCTGGCCCTGGTGTTCATCCCTGGCACGAGATTCCAGATCAGACCGAGTCTAATGTATCAAGGACTGTTGCTGGGGCTGTTCATCAATGGCGTTGCACGATGGGGCTTCGCGTCCATCATCGAGACCCCTGCCGCGCTGGGCGAGGTTCCTTCGTCCGGAGGAGGGTCGTCGTGGTGGGGTGCGAAATCTCCAAACGTGACGGCAGTGGTACACAGGACCTCCCTGAGAGCTGGAGCTGCTGTGAACGATTTTGGGACGGCTTTTCTTTCTGATCTGGACACGGTCGGCGACGTGGTTTCCAATATCACGTTCCGCTGGGGCCCACTGCCCCGCGACAAGGGTGTCGACGGCGTCAGCATCCTGATCAACGATGTCGAGCGGTGGCGCGGATACACGGATGAAGAACTATACTGGGACCAAGAACAGGTGACGCTGCCACGGATACGACGTAAAGAGAGAGCAAGCGCGGCAACGGGTGAGCCCGAGTTTGAACCCGAGTCTGAACCCGAGTCTGAACTTGAATTTGAGCCTGAGCCCGAGTTTTTCAGGTTCGCGTGGATGAACGGCAACGCTGCCGGCAGATACAGCAAAGTCGGCCTGTGGGACGAGAAGGGCGTTTGGCACGATATTCCTGCCTGATCTATGTCATGGCCCATGTCATGGCCCCATGGCTTGAAGTGGTGAAGGTCAGAACATGCCTACGTATCTGGGTCCACACAACCGGGATGGAACAGCTGACCGCTACCAGTGTAGTCCATGATATCCCAAGGCCAAGGCCCCTGACGGAAACGGAAACGGAGCGTGTATATACATGGCGTGAGCCGCCTCGGTTGGATAGATTGGGGAGGGCATCTATGAAATCTATGAAATCTATGAAATCTATGAAATCTATGAAATCTATGAAATCTATGAAATCTATCAAGTTCATAAAGTGGTGAATTCTATACTCCCTGCTTTCCCTCTCCTATTGGCGGCTTGATAGAACGCACCGCGCCGCTCGCCCATCCCGCGCCGCTTTTAAAACACCACTGCCCTGCCACTCACTCACCCTCCGTCAGCCTCACCGTCTCTCTCATCCTCGACTCGCCCACGACTCTTCTCCAGCCACTGGGCGATGCCCTCGGCGCCTGCGCCAGACCAGGATCCTACGTCGATGGACGGCCGGGTGCGCAGTTACTAGGCCTACTAGGCCCTCTTCTGGGCCCCGACGGCGGTCAACGTTCCTCGCCTTTCGACTTTTGACTTTTGACTTTCTTCCGACCTTGCTTAAAAAGGGGACCCCTTCCCTTCCGACGCGCAGTACAAGATGAATATGAAATCATACGGGCCTTGTTCACTCCTGATATTTTACCCAAGATGAGTGCCCTTATTCACTCCGACTGACTTCACATCTAAACAGACAGGCGACAGGCTGGGCAATCTACAACAACCGCGTCCATCATGGGGCTGTCCTTGCTCTTCCCCTTCCCAACCTTGTAGTCGCCATTTCCCAATTCTGTTCCTGTACGGAGTACACCTACCACCATTTGTGCTTGGTAAATTGCATACTCGTACGAGTAGCCATAGCTAGATCTGAGTTTGGGAGATTGGTGCAACAAAGTGTGTTACCGTCAAAGCTCAATCTGATCAAGCCTGTCCATGACCTGCTCGATGTACGCAACTCCCACAACGATGCCATCGGCGTCCTGCAGCTTCCGCTGCTCCTCTCCGTTCTCCAGTCCGTCCAGGCAAGCTAGAACGACGTCCTTATACTTGGTGCCAAACTTGGGCGGGATTTGTTTCTGGGCCAAGTCTTTGTATTGGACTCGCTGGGCGTCTGGACTGAGCAACTCCGATTCTTCAATTTCCTGGCCGTCTTTTGTTTTCTTCACTTTGTTCCACAAATGCTTCTGACCGCCACGTGGGTCGGTGAATAATCTCCACAGCGCTATTTCCAAGAGAACGACACCTAAGCTGTACACGTCGTGACGCATCGTGAATTCATGCCCGACCTTCAGGTGCTGACGATCAGGATGCTGATAAATGTTCTTCTTCCAGTCCGTTTCTCGGAGCAACTGGGACCTGGCATCAGCTTTGCGTACGGCATCGAACCCAACCAGATACGGCTGACCAAGGTGTTCAGGGTATGTGTGAGATGCGGACTCAAACACGAGGACATTGGTAGGGTTGATCTGCTTGTGAACGAATCCTCCAGCGTGGATATAGAAAAGCGCCGAGGCGATGCCCTTGGCGAGGCGCAAACGCTCAGTCAATGAATGGACCGGACGAGCGTGACCTTGGTCGATTTCCATCAAGGCCTGAAGGGCCTTGGGCGATGTTTGGCCTTCGGGGTAAGCAAAATGAAGAGCGAACAAATTCTTGCGAAGGTTCTGCGAGAAGCCGAGACACCTCAAGATGCCCATGGTGGAAGGATCCGCTTGTCTCAATCTTGCGGCCAGGTCTCGTACAAGGATGCGGGTCGCATTGATGGCCGGGGTATCGGCCGAGTTTGCATATTTTCTATACTCGCCCAATGTATTGGTCCCGGACTTGTTCTTCTCTAGCCAGATATGGGAGTCCTTGGTCACTGGCGTCACCGCCTCGTCGTGATCATATTCCGTGTCGATGTTGAGTGACTTGATCTCCGCCTCAGCGGGTGGATCAGCCGATCGAATGCTTCGAATTCTGCTTGTCACGGTGTTGGAAGAAGCCAGCCCAGCGGCAGGTGTTGCGGTTGAGGTGGAGGTTCCGAAGAAGAGGAAGATGATAGCCCTTTCCAGGAATCGCTTCACCCATTTCTCGAGCTCGGCACAACTCTTCGAAATCTTTCTAGCTCCGCGGAACGAATAGCCTACCTGTACAAGCACACCAGTTTCTCCGTCCGTCAGCAGCGAGGTGATGGATTCTGCAGAGTCTCGAATTGCTTGGGAAAGCTGCTCGAGGTCGTCGGCGAACGTCGCCGTCACGGATGCAGCGTTCTCTTTGTAGAAGTTCAGAACTTCGGACACCTCACCCTGGGCGCATCTCACGGCAAGCTTGAAGAGCCTCTTGTCTTTGTCCATGGCCTTGTACAAATCGTATTTTTCCTTCAGGAAGTCGGCATACTTGATTGCGAGGTCGACGAGCCCTGGAATCGCCAGCACGACGCTTGTGGTTTTCGCCGCTGGCATTTTCGGCCGAGTCAAGTCATTCAATTGCTAGCACCAACGTCTTTGTTCGGCATCTCGAGAGAGGAACGAAGGCAGCCTGGCAATTGAGGGGTAGAGCAATGCCCAGAAACAGTTCTGTGTCACGGATTCGTCCTGATCAATAAGGATCGAGACACATGAGATCACCTCTTTGCGCCCAATTCGCGCCAACCTTTGCAGATAGACCCTTGTCTAGTTCCGTGATATCCTGCTGTCTTTGTTCCATTGTAGTTGCCACTTATCAGGCTGCCCTCGACGGTTTGACATGGCTATATTTCTACCGCCGGATCCGGATATCATCTGGCCGTCGTCGTGACTGCCATCTCCGTACGAGGATGGCTGATCACAATTCCAAACATGGCCGCCCGGTCATCTCTGACATTCGGTGGACGACCAGGAGATCATACGCGTCTCGCTTCACGGTGGTTCCAGGACCTGGGACCACCAAGGATTCCCGCGCTTCTACCTCGTCGGCTCCGACAGAGACGGCTTCCACGTCGGCAAGAAGCTTCATCATGATGCTAGATGAGCTCAAGGTGCCAGGCCCACTCACCCTGATAGATGCACTGGACTCGAGCCACTATATCGACGAGGTGGACAGTTTGAGGTTTACTGGAATCTCTTGCTTGACGATTCGGATAGTGCAGAACAGACCTGGCTGGAGCGCGTGGCAGTCAAAAAGTGCAAGTTCGACGTGGAAGAAAACCGGCCGTTGGATCTATCTGCTCAGAAGTATCGCGAGCAGGTCCATGACATGCTGTTGGAGGTTTCTGCTCTCCAGGACTTACGTCTTCGAGACCACCCGAATGTCGTCAGCCTGATTGGATACGGCGTCGAACTACGTACCTGGCATGAAACACCATTTCTGGTCATGCCTCTTGCTCTTGGGGACCTCGGCAAGATCCTCCAGCATCAGATCTCTCTAGACGTGGTGTACCAGCTGTGTCTCGATGTTGGGTATGGTCTAGACGCCATTCACAGTTGCAAGCTTGTGCATGGTGACTTGAAGCCTCAGAACATCCTTGTTTTTGAGAGAGATTCCCCTTTCGATCGGTTACCTCTTGTTGCAAAGCTGGCTGATTTCGGGCTTTCGCTGGACCAAGTTACCGCGACGAGAGGAGACTCGATCTTCCTCACAGGCTACTCTCCCGGATGGGCCGCGCCCGAAGTCGTCCTGTGTTATACACAAAAACGCCCAATTTCCATCGAAGCACTTCTAAAGGCTGACATATACTCACACGGACTTCTGATCCTTAGCTCCTTTTGCTTCGGTGGACAGGTGCCTGAGCTTTCTTCCTATGCGAGCACAGAAGCCTTGAGGGAGACTGCATCTGTTCTACCAAACCATACTGCCGGGGTTCTGAGAACTGCATTGCCAGTGCTGTTGCAGGAGGACTTCATGTTACGTCCTCCTGTGGTCGGATCGCTTTTACTGAATGAATCACCAGCTTGTCTTGCGTGGTAAGCTGCGAACCCCGCGCAACATACCTAGTACGCACGTATGCTGACCTGACATTGTAGGTCGCAAGAGCGAGATGACTATGAGGGATGGCACGCCGAGCAGCAAAAGCGAAGCTCCACTTCATACCATCATCCATGGGAATTGCAGTCAATCGCCGCTCTCCTTGTCCAAGGGATCGAGAAGTCCTACAGCACGTACGGACCATTCCTTACTGGAGCCCAATTGTTTGCCATGTTCTTACTGCGATCGGTTCAGGACATCGCCAGATCAGACAAGAAGCTTCAAATCGCAATCCTACTCGATGCTGCTCGCACCGGCTTCCCCCCGGCCCAAGCACTCGTGAAAAGAGTGCTTGTGTCGTATGATTTGCCCGTATCAGAGCACATGAGCGACCGAGAAGCACGAAAATGGATGCACAACGCCCTCGAAACTGGCTACCTCCCTAGCGAGATGGAGACTGAAAGCTTAGATGCGAGAGAGCTACAGGAGGACCGAATCACTTTTCGAAACAACACCGGGTATAACCAATTCTACTCGCCGATCACGACTCTAGCCGACGCGAGATTCCACTTCATCGAAGATGATCAGGCCGTCACTGACCAAGGTCACTGGCACCCGTCTTGCGACCAGTACAAGAACGACGTGATTCACCAATTGGCGGCTCATGGCCAAGACGACGCACTGAAGCTCTTGCTGGAAGCAACCCCTATTAATCTGAACAAACGCAACTCGTTAGGCGAGACTGCCTTGTACAAGGCTTGTCTAGCCGGCCATTGGAACACTGTGATTCTCCTTTGCCAGAACGGCGCCGATGCATCCATTCCCGCCACTGACAGGAACATGACTTGCATGCACTGGCTGTTCAATTTCCCGGCAGCCCAAGTAGTCCATGTTTTCCATGCTCTGAGCTCTTCTGGAGCAGACATGGACGCAAAGATTCTTGGACGAAACCCACTGGTCAACCACCATTACCCACTTACCTGGCCTTTGGGCGCGCCTTTGCACTGGGCTGTTGGGGCATGCAACGGTGCTGCCGTCAGAGTCTTGCTCGAAAATGGGGCCGATCCCTGCATCCGAAATGGGCAAGATCCTTACAGGACCGATGAAAATGTTCGGCAGCTTCATAGTCATGGTACATCTGAGACGGGCGAGTGGTCCGAGACACCGGAGAACTGCCAAGGGCTTACTCCGGTCGACTTGGCTGTCGCAAGACGCGAGTGGAGAATCCTGGAGCTATTTGCTTCCTGCTGCCACAAAGATGACCTGCTGAGAGTGGACGAGGAAGGCTATTCGCCGTTCCATCGACTCTCGTTGAATATGATCGGGACCGCTGTGACAGGACTGAGATTCTGGTACGGCGCTTTCCGAGGCGACAAGGCAACCAGGAAACTCCAGATAAGACGCACCGTGGAGACTTTGAGGGTCATGGGTGGAGACATCAACAAGCTCACTGGTAGTCCTACGAACCCAGGTCTGGGCGGAGCCCAAGGAGGGATGACTGCACTGATGATTGCAGTGACCAAGTCAGATGAAGAAGTGGTGGATATCCTATGCCAGGAGGGAGCCGACCCCAATATCCAGAATGGATGTGGCCGTACAGCACTGACGTTGATGCTCGACATCAACGTCCACGGGTCCAGCCCTCCACGCAGCATAGCAGCAATCGTGCGAAGCCTCACCGACCACCGGGCAGACGTCGAGTACAGAAGCCCTGATGGAGTGACGCCACTCCTGTGCGCAGCATCCAGCGGCGACTTGGAAGCCGTGCAGATTTTGGCGGAAAAAGGCCTGGTCATGACGAATCCCGAGGGACTCCTGGCGGTGACTCACATGATTGTCGGCATGCGGCATGCGAAGAATCTGGATCACGCGTTCATGTCGATCCAAGAATCCGAGCAGCGAGAGCTTGCCCTCGCGGCATTTCTGGCCAGATATGTCGCCCCTGCTGCCAAGTCGAATGCTCTGCTCGTCGGCGAAGCAGATCAGGGACGAACACTCCTCCACTGTTGTGCAACGGCTGCCGTCTTCACGTGTGTGAAAGTCTTAGTCGAGGCCGGCGCGGCTGTCAATCCCGTCGAATCCGCCGGCACGCGAAACCAGATCGGTAGCTATACCATTGGAGTGTTCAGCAGCGCGGACCGAGACATCATTCACGGTACGCCGCTCGATGTGGTGGAGCAGATGGAACGGATCTTCGAGCTGTCCAAAAGTATCAGGCTGTCACAACCAAGTAAGTGCCACCGGTGTAAGACCAGACGATGTGATCCGTCCGTGATACTGACTTAGACTGTGATCTCACGGTGATGGTGATACTGACTGGGACTGATTTTCTTTTCTTGATTGGAGAGGTCGACTATATCTTCGACAAGTGGAAGCACATTCGCAAATTCCTGTCCGACCACGGAGGCAGACGTTTCGACGACCTCCGAGTCCCCTAGGTGCCCCGGGGTCTAGAACGACTTGGCCACTAGTCACTGCTTCGCCTGTACGGCCGCGAACTCAATGCCAATACTTAGTGCTCGGAGTGCACGGATACGTAGTAGCCATGTCTCCTCTCCACCTTCTTTCAACAGTTCGACGAAGTCGGTCATGTTGACCGGCTAGGAGTAGCTGACTGGCTAGGAGTAGCTGACTGGGTCACTTGCGTACATGTAGGATATCATGTATGGGAATGGAGGCGGACTTGCGTAGGATATCATGTATGGGAATGGATGCGGACACCAAACAAGACTGACTAATTAAAGTTTATATAATAAATAGAAAGATAGGAGAAACTCGGTCGAGGGATGTAGCTGGTATATTACAAGGGGTAAGTGGAGGTGTATAGAAAAAAATATTGATATTACGACGACGAAACTATAGGGCTACGTGAGATTAGGGTGTTGAAGGGCCAAGGCTGGTGAGGCTACGCGTGCGGGTGTAGAGAAGGCTAAGGGGCTAAAAGCGGCGCCGTACGACCGCTGTTTTTAGCGGCTATTTCACCGACATGTTGAGATACTCCGTATATGTCAGTATATCTAATAGTAGGTAGGCTAAGTAGCTAAGTAGTATCCGTACATCTAGTCTAGAGTCTAACCGTACATCTAGTCTAGAGTTTGGCATTGGCCGGCTTGACCCTCTCCCCATCCAAGGCCTCGGCGTACAACTGATCCAGCACATCTCGGAAACGTTTCGCGGCCACGGGCCTCTTCAACTTCAGCGTGGGCGTGAGCAGGTCGTTGTCGACGCTGAAGGGCTCCACTGCCAACTTGATGTTCCGGATGCGCTCGTAGCCGGCAAACTTCTTCTTGCGGCCGGCGCGATCCAGATCCTTGAGCACCGCGGCTTTGACCTTGGGCTCGTCGCAGGCCGCCTTGATCGCGGCGACGTCGGTCGGGGCGATCTCGCGGCCCAGCACTTTCGATGCAAACAGCGCAAACGTGTCGGGCTGCACGCCAAATATGCCCACCAGGAACGTCTGCAAGCTGTCGCCGTGCACAAACGCCTGGGCAAGGTAGGTGCACGATGACAAGTAGACCCCTTCGATCCGTTCCGGCGAAATGTACTCGCCTTGGGCAAGCTTGAGCACGTTCTTGCGCCGGTCGATGATGCTGAATCGCCCGAGCTCGTCCACGCTGCAAATGTCCCCGGTCTTGAACCAGCCGTCGTCTGTGAATGCCTTGGCCGTCTCCTCTTGGTTCTTGTAGTATTCTTTGAACACCGATCCACCGCGCAGGAGCAACTCCCCCCGCGGGTACGGTTTGTCCTCCACCGTGTAGTCCATGTCCGGGACACTGAGGAGGCATGCTTCCTGGCAAGGCATGAGCCCACCGCAGTTGCTTACACTGAAGTCGTCGGGGGGTTGGCTTAGCGCAACGGCGTACGTCTCGGTCAGGCCGTAGCCCTGGAAGAGTCTGGTCGAGAAGGCGACGCGCAGGAACTGCTGCAGAGAAGGGTCGAGAGGGGCGGAGCCCGAAACCATGGTCTTTGCACGGTCGAGACCGATTGCCGCAGCGACCTTGCGGCCCCAGATTCGATCGTAGACCATGTGATACTGTGTCGGCGTGGGCGGCGCAGCACCTTTTGACCTGGGTGCCGGGTCTGCATTGGCGAGTTTCGTGCGCACAATGTGTCTGCTCAATGCACCCTTGAACCCTGGCTGTTCAACGGTTTGGGCCTTGATTGCTCCGCCGAACCGGTTGAACAGTCTCGGCACCGAAGCGAAGGTGGTTGGCCGAAGCAGTTTGAGATCATCCACAAGCTCGAGAACGTTTCCGTGGAAATAGCCCAGTCGAGAACCCGCCCAGAGCGCAGTGTGCTCGAGGAGTCGACCATAGATGTGGGCCAGAGGCAGGTAGCTGCAGGCCACTCCAGTATGATCGAGCTTTGACGAGACCAACGAGGACGACGTAGCCGCCACGGCCATGGCGTGTGTCAGAATGACGCCCTTTGGCGAGCCAGTCGTGCCAGACGTATAGTTGATAGTGATCGGATCAGAGGGTTGGGGCGGGTTGTACGGTCGGTTCAACGACTCGCCCAAGCTTTCCACCGTCTCCAGCGAGAAGATCTTCAGCCCGACATCTGCGGCGAGCGTGTCGAGCAGCGCTTGCTTGGACAACTCAGGTCTCTCATTCGGCGCGGTCTCGAGGTTATCCAGGACGATGATGAATTTCAGGTTGGGCAGTCGTGGCTTCAGCTTCAGCAGGGTGGGAACGTGCGGTAGAGAGCACACGACACAGGCAAGATTGGCATGCCGAATGATGTATTCGGAGGTGTCCGGACCCAAGGTATCGTAGAGCGAGACGGAAAACAAAGACTGGGACATGCAAGCAAGATCGGTTAACTGCCATTCCGGTCTGTTCTGGCACCACAGACCGACGCCATATTGCGCGCCTGTGATCCCTTCTCTTGCGTGTAGTTCCACAATCCCCACGCCAAAGTTTGCCCTTCTCTTCTGGACGGTCTCGTAGTCTATCCATTCGTAGGGCCCGAATGTCTTCTTCGCCGTGTCGTAGGGACGGAATCCTAGGCAGGGCGAATGGGGGTATCTCTGAGCGGTGACTTCAAACATGTCATGGCCAGTCCGAACGGCCGGATCGAGGGTTTGGAGAAGGCCATCGCGACATTTGTGATGGCGATAGACGGCAGTCCGCTCGGGCTTTTCGGAGCCGGCTAGGGTGATGGAATATGGCTGGCCTTTGGAAGGGGTCGTGTAGTATTCATCTGCTTTTTGCAGGTAGGGTGGTCGTGAGGAGAGGAAGGACGGCATGGCGGAGTAGAAAAGAGAAGAAATGAGGGCAGCCGAAAGCCAGCCGTCCACAAAGCCAATTTCGATTAAGGAGAAGAACGAGAAGAGAGGTGGCGGAGGAGGGTACAGAGGATGTCAGAGTTGTTATTGTAACGAGGACGACTGCCAGTGCCTAAGGTAGGTATTTGTGCACGATGTCAGACGCGGGTCGCGGGAGTGACATGGCCTCTCTTTTTTTTACCCTGAGCAGTGAGCAGCATGCACCATCTGGCTAAGAACCGGGTAGCAGGGTAGCAGGATAGCAGGAGAGGAGCCACATGATGGCTTGCGCATCATCCATGCATCCATCCATGATGCCTCTCCGCAGCTCCAGACGATCAACACCGTCGTATCAGTGGACGCGACAGTGATGCCCCGTGTCCACCGTCGACCAGCTGCCTCGGCATCTTTCATGCCAAACGAGCAATGCCTGAGCACCGCCTGGGGGGCGTCATGCGGCGTGAGGGGCCCAGGGAGGCTCTGGGGCTGTGGGGATGCCTTAGCACACCGGCGGTGGTCAGGTGCCCGGTGGACTTACAGCCAGCGTCGGAGGAGCGGCCAAAGCTGGATGGCACCCGAGCCCTAACTTCAATCGGGGCATATTTCCTTCTGTGCAGTGTGCACTGTACAGCGTGGAAGACGGAAGACACCTCGCTTGAATTTGGAAACCTCAACGTATTTTTGGCCTCATGTAACACTTCACCAGGGGAGAGGCGAGGCTATGAACGCCAGAGAATGATAAAGTCCCGGTACCGCCCTCCGCAGCACATGGCTACCTAGTCGGTGCCTAGGTCAGAAATAAGGTCCGGTGCAGCCGGGGATCGAAGAGCATACGGAGTGCTGCAAAAGACATGTGAAAAATAGCCCCTTAGCCCAAGGCTTCGGCCAGATGATCTACCACACTCCAGATTGCTGCCCCTTCCTTCTGCTCGCATTTCCAAACCCAAGTGCCAACGTACACCGTGGATCTATCTCTATCCTGACATATTCTGGCCATATTTCTCGCCCTGTATGCGCACAAATTCACTCCTCATCCTAGAGATTCGGTCCTACATCAACCAAGGCCATCGTCAGACGTGGGATTCTGTTTCATGAGAGAGATTCCGATCAACTAGATCAGGTGGCCCCACTGAGTTTGGCATCAACAGTTGGCTTCGCCTCCGCTGCTGCATTGTCCTTGTTTGCCTCTCCATCTGTCCGAGCAGCATCGCTGGCGGCGAAGCTCTGTTCAAAGTCGTGGATGATATCGTCGATGTTTTCCAGTCCTACACTAATTCTGACTGCGTCGGGCGTCACTCCAGAGTCCAGGCGCTCTTGTTCAGAGAGTTGTTCGTGCGTAGTGGACCAAGGGTGAATCGCGAGCGTCTTTGCATCTCCCACACTAATCAAATCAATTAGTCCAGGCCATCGTCCTGGGATTGGGGATACTTACTTGGCCAGTCTGGAGATCAACTTGAATCCATCCACCACCTGTGAGCCCGCATCCGCCCCTCCCTTGATGCCTACTGACAAGACGCCGCCAAAGCCTCGAGGGAGGTATTTCTTGGCGAGCTCGTGATAAGGGTGGCTCTCAAGGCCAGGATATGACACCCAGGCGACGTTCGGGTGCTTCTCTAGCCATCTCGCCAGCTTGATAGCATTAGACGCATGGCGTTCACCTCGCAGACTCAACGTCTCGAGGCCCAGGATGAACTGCTGCGCGTTGAACGGCGACAAGCAAGCACCCAGGTCCCGCAACAACTCCACTCGGACGCGGGTGATGTAGGCCAACGAACCGAATGTGTCCGCAAACTTCAGTCCATGGTAGCCTGGAGCGGGCTCGTTGAACTGGGGAAACCTCGCCGCGTTGGCTTTCCAGTCAAAATTGCCCGAATCAACCACGACACCGCCGATGGAGGTGCCATGACCGCCAATCCATTTGGTGGCACTATGGACCACAATGTCGGCTCCGTGCTTGATGGGTTGGGCGAAATAGCCGCCAGCTCCGAACGTGTTGTCAACCACAAGGGGGACGCCCTTCGCATGAGCGACCTTGGCGATTGCTTCAAAGTCCGGGACGTTGTAACGAGGATTGCCAATGGTTTCCACATACACCGCCTTAGTCTTGTCATCGATGGCCTTCTCAAAGTCTTCGGGCTTTTCCGAGGTCAAGAACTTGGTATGGATACCCAGACGGGGGAACGTGACCTTGAACTGATTGTACGTTCCTCCGTATAGGTTCGAAGTCGAGATGATGTTGTCCCCGGCGTGTGCCAAAGCAGCAATGGCCAGGAACTGAGCCGCTTGACCAGACGCGGTTGCGACCGCCCCAACGCCCCCCTCGAGAGCTGCGATTCTCTTCTCAAACACGTCGACAGTAGGGTTCGTAATCCGACTGTAGATGTTTCCGACCTCTTTCAGGCCAAACAGCCTTGCGCCATGGGCCGAATCATCAAAGGTGAAGGAAGTGGTTTGGTAGATGGGGACGGCACGGGCATGGGTGGCCGAGTCGGGGTCGTGACCGGCATGGATTTGCAGGGTTTCGAACTTTGGAACGTAGTCGTCGGCAGACATGGTGGAGGGAAGGCTAGGATTCAACGGGAGGAGGGGAGGGGTCAGGCTGTCGATGTCGATCTGCTATGGTGAGGCAACAGAGCCGTTCGTTTTTCAATGGCTACCACTGGGTAGAGGGCTTAGGCTCCTGAATCCAAGTAAGGGGACAATACAGCTCCGAAGCCTGTGGAAAGAATCTCTAAGAGCAAGGTTGGAGGGCAGGACGGCGGGAGGGCGACAGGAACCTTTTGTGTGCGAGTTGGGAAGTGTCATCACAGGCTAGATCAAAGGTGTCACTTTTCTTTCCCCGCAACGTTTGTTAGTCTTGATTCTTCGACGATTGCGTGATCGGACGCCAATCCACGCGAGCTCGGGCTTCATCGTTATGGATGGCCACTTCGGGGACCTAGGACGGACACAACCGTGGAGTGCGAGCCGCAAGAGAGCAGAGATGGTTCAATCACCATGTTGCGAGGTGGCGGAATGCAATGTGTTTGTGTTTCGCTGCGCAGCGTGGTGCACGGCAGCTGGCAGCTGCTCTTGTTTGGTACCTGACGATACATCTTATCTGACACCGTTATCGGCAATCGAGATGAGGGGCGTGCTTGGGGGGGTTTTTTTCCTGGGGAGCAAGGCTTGCTACACCTTGAGCTGTAGCAGTTCGATGGGCGTCCTTTCCGACAGCAGTATCCGTACTCCGTACTCAATAGTATGTTAAACTTAAGTCGCACCCAGATATACGAATAAGCACGGTGGTTCCGCAAGGTTGGTATGCACCAGCCTTTAGCCCCCCGCCCCCCGCCCCCCGTTTCATGCCCTCGATCAAGGAGACTATGCTTGCGAGGATCAGTGAGAGAGGAAGGGCAAAGACTCTGTCACGACCGTGGGGTATAGCGGGTTCTGAACACAGAGAATTTGATGCAACCAACCCTACACCATGCGGGCTTGCTATGGTCGAGATACTCAGTTGTTCAACTGGAACAGTTGTACAGCCACAGAATCGCCCATATAGTTGTCCATATCGGAGATGTCAGCGGCTTTCAAGAGTAACGTGGCATTCCAGTCATAGACAGCGCCACGAGGACGGAGGATTGGTGATGGCCGGTGAACCATGGTGTTTGTAGAGGGCGGTATCAGAGTGAAAAGAGGCATGGTCTCTCAGGCTCTTTCATTAAACGGCTGGAAACCAGGGGGCCAAGGCCATAAGTAAAGACCGTCGCCATCGGGCCATGGCAGCTGACTGAGATCAACATCTACATCTCCAGATCATAACATGGTCTTCGGTCAGCTGTTTAGGTGTGCATCCTTAACATCTTGGATGCCCTGATTTGACCGGCTCGGACCAAGGCTGATCGCACCTGGTTGTGAAGTGTTTGTGTCTGTCTTCACAGTCATCATACTCCAGACGGCCCTCGCCTGTCGCGGCAAGCTGCAATACTGTGCATGTCTCTGGATCTACTGAGGGGAAGTGATAGTATCATGCCCCTCTAGGTGCCCCTTGGTTTTCTCGGAGAACGACGGGGACTGCGGACATAGACGGACGGAGCCGAGATCATCCCGAACTGATTGGTGATGGCTTTGTTTCGTCCTCAGAGTCGAACACTAGGTTCGACTTCTCCTCAGTCACGCCTCGCCAAATGTGTTTGTGGAAGCCATGGATCTGTGGAGGAGACAGCAAGCATGGTTCGACCGGATGATTCCCCTGCGAGGGAAAAGGCCGGTCTTCCTCGAGTTCCGCTCCTCGAAGGGCTTCATATTGTTTGCGGTATGTTGGTCGGTCTTCACTGTAAGCAAGTCCGCTTCTGAACACCTGCCGCGGATGCCTAACACGATGCCCAGGACGTCTTTCTCTACGGCATCATCGTTCCTGTTATCCCCTTCGCGCTCCAGGATCGAGTGCATATATCTCAGAAGGACACTCAACACTGGGTCTCGGTGCTTCTCGCCGTCTATGCAGCAGCACTGCTTGTTTTCGCTCCGCTTTTTGGATGGGTGGCTGATCGCACACCTTCTCGGAGAGCTCCTCTGCTTGGAGGCCTTATCGTCCTTGCCGGATCAACTCTCATGTTATGTTTGGGCAAGACGATAGCGGTTCTCGTGGTCGGGCGGCTGTTGCAGGGGGCTTCCGCCTCGGTCGTCTGGACAGTGGCTCTGGCGCTCATGGCCGACACGGTCAAAGAGGAAGAAGCCGGCCGCGCGATTGGCTATGTTAGCATGGCTACCTCTTTGGGCGTCCTGGTAGCACCCTTGATTGGCGGAGTGGTCTATCAGAGGTCGGGCTACTATGCTGTCTTTGGGGTGACGTTCGCAGTCATTGGACTGGACATTCTTCTGCGACTGATCTTAATTGAGAAGAAGCTCGCTGCAAGGTGGTTTGAGCCGGAGGCGCCACTCAATCAGCCATCCGCAGACACGCCATCTCGAACCGATATTCCGCTTGAGGATCGGCAGGAATCGACAGTTGTGAAGGAAAAGAATACACTTGCTGCAACGATAGGGACTTCGCGCCCTCAGCAAAGGCGAAAGCTGCCGCCGATCCTGATCCTTTTGAAATCACGTCGAATCCTCGTGGCTGTTTGGGGTAACTTCGTCGGAGCAATGACCTTTACCGCCATCGACACAACTCTTCCCCTCTACGTCAATCAGATTTTTGGTTGGGACTCTCTGGGCGCCGGCCTGGTCTTCATCGCACTTCTTGCGCCGAGCGCTGCAGGGCCATTGATCGGGTCTTGGACTGACAAGTATGGACCGCGTTGGATCGCCGCATCTGGTCTTTTGCTCAGTATACCCTTTTGGGTGTTGCTTCGACTCGTGGACCGAGACTCAGTGGGACAAGCTGTACTCCTCTGCGCCTTGTTGGTACTTCTTGGGGTCGCAACCGCCCTGTTACTGACCTCGCTAATGGCAGAGTTCAGCAAGGTTTGCGATGTGAAAGTGCGGCAAGACCCTGATCTCTTCGCAGGCAAGTCGGCGTATGGGCAGAGTTATGGAATCTTCAACGTGGCATGGGCCGGTGGCAGCTTGGTGGGACCGCTGGTGTCGGGCGCAGTCAAGTCGGCTGCTGGGTGGAAGACCATGACCTGGACAATGGCGCTCTGGTGCGCTGTGGGCATTCCTCCCACGATCATGTACTCGGGAGGAATGATCACGAAGAGAAAGAGGCACAATAACCATAACCACGACAACATTGCCAACAACGGTGTATAGAGCGGCGAGAGTGGTTGAGAAGTGCGGGAGTGCAGGGGCGGGAGAGCGAAACACCAGAATCTTTCAGTGGATGAGGTACAGGTGGAACTCCAGCACATCTAATAGAGATGCAGTGTAACGAGGGAAGAAGGCCCTGATGGTGTTTGACAATTGTGTGCGTGTTTCGAAATGTGTACTCCGTACGGATGGCTGCCATCCAATATCCCCCGCGGCCGCAGCTCGAGCTTGAAACCGTAGTTGTTTCAGCCTTGGGCTGCCCGCCTCACTCTCTCCCGCCTCCCCCTCCCTACCTGCGTGCCTGCGTCTCTGCGTCTCTTCTCTCTGTGCACGCCCACCATCATTCTCAAACGAATCTATTCTCACGGTGGCTGCGGTCAGCCACTGGCCGTTCATGCAAGTCATCGTGTTTGACCGCGTCTCAAACAGCCAATTTTTCCATGCGCCCAGAGCCAAACATGCTGCGTGAACCTTGCCGCGTTTGGGCACGTCCAACGCGCAGGCAAGACATGTCCGACTGCTTTATGAACACTTGCATTGCCGTGTTTCTCCCTGTCCTGCGAGCTGGTCTCTACAAGACAAGAGTCTCGGGTTGATTGGGTTTGATTCTCGCTCTTCTTTTGTTTGTCCATTTCTATGCTTGTCTCTTGGTCTAGTGATATCTCGGCTGGTTTCCTGGATTCACTCGGTTTCGTCGCCTGGTTAACGTGACGACGAGGAATAAAAGTGCTACCGTATTTTCCTCTATCTTCTCAGGCTCGCCCTCTGCGCGTCCATCTCCAAATCCACCTCATCGACCACTACACTCAGATCGTCACCATAACCCATATTCCACTTCGCCAACATCGCCTGCAAACCCGTCGTTCTCGACCGCCCAAAATGTTTATCAACCAGGTCCTTGTCCTTCGTGTCCTGCAGGGGGTATTGGCTTTCATTGCCATGGCTCTGGGAGCGACCGGTAACTGTTTTTTTCTTCCTAAATCACGGTAATGCCTCTGCTAACACCGTCTTTCTAGTGGCCAACGTATTGAACACTGATCATCCCACAATCCACGTGCCATCGGCTGTCATCTTCTTCATCTTCACGGCCGTCTTCACCATGCTGATCACCGTCCCGTACACTATCTTGACGCCTCGCTATTTTCCTGTCCTCGCCTACCCATACGCAATGCTTGCGGCGGAGGCCACAACGTCTCTCTTCTGGCTCGGTGGCTTTGCCGCGATCGCAGACCGGATGAGAAAATCGAACATCTGTGAGGTTGGTGCATGTGCTTCGGCCAGAGGGAGTGTCGTCGTGGGTGTATTTGAATTGTGAGTTCACACGTTTCCGCAATCCGGTGGTCTGGCCTCGGCTCGTTAACGCACTTCTAGTCTTCTTTTTGCGGTGACCGCCTTCTTTGCCTTCTCTCATGTGTTCCTCGGCGGCAGGTTCAGTGGAGACACAGCGCAGAAGAAGCAACCCGAGGTGCAACGAGCCTGGACCGGAGCAGAGGTGGTCTAGAGGCGAAGTATGGGTGTATTTGCTGGGGAGAAAGCAACAGCATAGGAATAGTGGATGGCACCGGACACCCCAGAAAGGATTGGTTGGAGTTGTTGATTCCTCTTGTAGACAACATCTTCCCTCTTCGTTTTCATGGCTGATCTGGAGCGTCATCGGGCGGTCGACCGCACCTGTTTCTTCTCCATTTCTCCCATACGATGTACTCCGTATTCGCTGTCGAATGAGTTGGGGCCACGGGCTCAGGGGCCGGGGTGGGAGGCCGGGGTGGGAACTTCGAAAGCCTGGGCCATGCTTATGATATGCAAGACTCTCTTCCCTGTACCCTTCCTACCGAGCACCAGAGGCTGGGCCGGTTCGCGTCTCAAACATAAACCAAGCCATTCGAATACCGAGAAAGTTCCATTCAAATGGCAAAATAACCTATCACTTTACAGGGCTTCAACGCTCGCATGAAAGCAATGCCCAAGGCACGTTAAAATACTGGAGAGTAAATGCCGGAAATGCACATGGGTCCAGAACTTCCAACTTTGCTCAGGAGATACAAAATGATGGCGGTAGTGCCACTATCAAACAGGGATCGATTACAAGGTCTCCAGGTAGGTCGGCGATTACACCTAACCTACTTGACGCCTGAAGACAAAGGTGCAGACGGCAATCGCCTATCGGATGCAAGAAAACCCTCTACTCCCATGCGGAGAACTGCTGTTTCAAGCTTAGGACGAGGAAACAGAAAGAGAACGAAGAGTAATCTCCTTTTCCACCTCCACAAAGCTAGAGATCTGTGTCCAGGCCGCCAACGCGGAGTCGCAGAATAAGGTGAACAATTATCCTTTGACTATATCCCCATAGGCCTCTGATGCCTACTGCAGGTTTTGGTGGTGCTTAAAGGAGGTCGAATGCTCATCTTCGAGCATAAGAGCCAATCAGGATCGGAAGGTCAAATAATCTGCGGCCTAATAACAAAGCAGAAGATTAGAAAATGCACAAATGCGTGAGGATGCATGTGCTTACCTTGTCAATATTGTAGTCGAACTTCTCCAGAGCAGCCAGACTCTCGTCACGCGACCACCCCATCGCAGTCAATCTCTTCAAGATGGGATCATCATGTTCGGTGCCTGTGCTTAAGGCGCGTCCCGGCTGAGGCCGTTGTGTCTTGGACGCTTGGCCGGAAGCCTTGGGTGGTGCCAGAGATGGCATATCAGTAATTTCTGATCCCGCCTCTTTGGCTGTTACCGCGGAGGCTTCGGGTGCACTCAAAGGTTCGGTTGCAGGTGTATTTGAGCTTAAAGGTGCGAAGAGAGCATCCCAATCATGGGATACAGGTGATGCAGCAGAGTTTGGACCAGCAGTGCTCGTCGGCGCTGGCCCGTTGGACTTAAAAAAGTCCTCACTGGTCGGTCTAGGCGTCCCGTTTGTCACTGAATCGTATACAGATCGATGCAGAGCGGTGGAGGCTTGGGACAGAGGCGGGGTGTCAAATGTCGGATCAAAGTCTGTCGTGTTCTTGGCTGGATCGAACACATCGGCTTCGTCATCATCGTCGTCATCTTCAACCGGGGCAGACCCCACGCCTTCGAATGCAGAGTCAAAATCAAAAGGTGCTGCTTTAGTGGGAGGTGGTCCTGTCGGTTTTGTCTCTGACGGGTCTCTGTCATGGGCCCCAGGGCCATATGCAGGAGGACTCCCACTTGGGAGCGCGGCAGGATTTGAAGACCCGCCAGCCGTGGGAGGAGGGAAAGTGGGATCTTCTCTCTCTGGTAATAACCCTTCGTATTCCCTTGGAAAATGTGTAGGGTTGTCCTGCGGAATCGAATCACCATAGGTCGGAGGGGAGATCTGTTGATCAGCAGCCGGCAGAGAGCCTGTGGTAGAGGCCGGGTTTCCCAAAGCAGGACGCGGCGATAACTTTTCTTTCAACGGAGGTGGAACCTCTGGTTGTTGCTCAGTCTTCGTTTCAGTGTCAGTCGGGACATCTCGCGGGGGAGATGTGGCATTGAAATCATCATCAAACTTCATAGGCGTCTCGTCACTATAATCACTGCTATCATCGTCGCCATCAATTTCCTGAATATCGGGGAATTCTTTATTAGCGCCCCCTTCAGTACCGTTGGTTGCTGGCGTGTCTGAAATTCCGGCGAATGCAGAGTCAAAGTCTGCAGCTTTCTGTGATGCCGTTCGTTGATGAGCAGCCCCACCAAAGAAATCGTCGAAATTTCGCTCAGGTGCCTTTGACTGGGCCACAGTCTCAGAGATAGCTTCGCCCTTGCCGCCATTAGGGGTAGCAGCAGCTTCCGAGCTAGCGATACCGGCCGCAAGGGTATGGAAATGTGAGTCTGTAGGGAATGCTCCAGGAATGTCTCCCGGTCCTGGCTGCGCAGGAGAGGCCTTGCCGAAAATATCGTCGACTGACTCCGTGGAAGTGGCCGGCTGCGGCAGTGCTCGGCGGATGGATTCTTGCTCTTCGTCCGGGGCAGCCGCTGTGAAGGGATCCTCTGTCGAGTTCCCGTGTCCGCTCGGGCTGGAGGCATCGGTTGCAGGAGTCAGAGCACGTGGAGTATCAGCAGGACTCATTCGGCTAGCTGGCGGTGCCACTTTGACGGAAGAACTAATCGAGTCTCCTCTTTCTAGAGGTCTTCGAAAGGGGAGTGCAGCAGAGGTTAACTGTGTCGACTGGACCGGTGCAGGTGGCTCAGTAACATCTTTTGGCGTGGATGAGGACGCAGGAGATTCAATGTGGGGGATAGTGGGTGGCTCATGGGGAGATGATCCCTGTCCAGAGAATGAAACGGCAGGCGGAGGCGTAGGCGCAGTGGATGATGCAAAAGAGGGTCCGAAGATGCTGTCGAAGGCACTGTGGCTATCCTTAGGTTCCTCTCCACCAGAGTCGGGCGGAGGAGATAGGGCGTCGGTAGTCCGTCTGAAGAACGGGTTCGAACTCGTGGACGGGGCAGGGCTTGCAACGGCAGGGGGGCTCTTAGCTGGAGGGCTCTTGACAGAAGGAATAGGCACGCTTCTTGCTTCCTCCAACTCTTTTTGTGAAGCCTCAACTTGTCGTGCCGACTCTTTGACCTGCCGCGCCGACTCTTCAACCTCTCGTTGAGCATCTTCGAGTTCTTTCTGGGTAGCGACTAGCTCAGCTTTCAGTCGATCTCGTTCTGCCTCGTTAGTAGCTAGCTGCTTTTTGTTGATGGCTACAAGGCCCTTCTGCTGTCTCGCATCGGATTTCAACTTCTCCAGTTGGGGTCTCAGTTGGTCGGTTTCCTGATTCACGTGTCGGATTCGTTCCTTCAAGGAAGCATTCTCCCGTTGATCGGACTCAAGCGCAATATGTAATTGTTGGTGCTGCGTCGAAAGATCTTGGTGAGTGCCATCAATCATGGCTGCGTCTTGTTGCAGTCTCTTAGTTTCATTCTTCACCGCTGTCAACTGCTCTTGTAATGCTTTGACTTCTTGAACCTCCTTCTCGTATAAAGACCTGAGTTGGGCCAAACGCCCTTCGAATGCCCTCTTTTGTGCGGTGCTGTTAGACAATTCTTGCTCTGTTTGCTTTCTCGTCCCTTGTAGCTCTGTCATTTGCTGGGACAGATTGCTGACTTGATTTGACAGGTTGCCCAGTTCGGAGGTCTCGTTGGTGAGTTTCGAGCTGACCTCCGGATCAGCATCACCAAGTAGATCATCAGTCGGTACAGGGGGTGACTTGGCTTGACTCGGAGCAGGGGATCCTGTCGGGTGAGGAAGGATGCTCTGACCAAAGGAGCTGGAAGGCACGAATGGTTTAAACGTGCCGGATGTTGCTTGCGGCGAAATGGAGGAGGCAAAGACCGTGGGATTTACGAAATGGCCGGCATCAGTACCGCCAGTCGATTGAGGTGCCTGCACAGGGGCAGGGGTGGGGCCAGGAACAGACACAGTCGGTGCGGGCTCAAATGCATCGAGGCCAAAAAGATCATCAGCTGCCGATCGCGGTTTTGTAGCGGCGGGTGCGGTTTCGAATGCTGGCGCTGTTGGCGGTTGGGACGGAGGGATTTGTTGTCTCCGCATACTCGGCGGCACAAGGGCTGGGGAAACAGTCGCTGGAAGAATACCTCGCCCATCTTTGGTACCTCGCTGCTGGCGTATCAAATACATAGCTACAGCAAATTCATCTTTGTTGAGCTGTCCATCCGAATTGATGTCAGCAAGGTCCCAGATTTGAGCCAGGATCTCCTCTGAGAGCCGGGCGTTGCTGAAGAATTCAACTGCTTGTTCTCCGTCAATGAACCCTCTACCTTGGCGGTCAACTGTAGCAAATATCGCATCAAATCGAGCCTTGTCGGCGGGTGTGATGACCCAGCCATCTCCGGTCGATTGTGCTGATAATGGAGTGGTCACTTGCTGCCTTGTGATCGGGCTCTGTGGGCGAGCATTGTAGCCACTGAATTGCTGGGTGATCGCACTGGAGCCTGGTCGCGAGCCACTGCCAACTCGGGCAGGTGGCCGGCGACTAGCAGCTTCGAAGAGGCCAGGGGGTAAGGTGCTAGGGACGCCTCGCATCTGACCGGATTTGTAGGAAGCTAGAAGGTGCATCGCGATAACGAACTCGGTGACGTCCAAGGCACCACGATTCTGTGTGTCGGCCAAGCTCCATATCCTCCCCAAAACCTCGACAGGCAATCTTGCCTTCTCGAATATTTGTTTGGCGACCAATCCAGAGAGGATACCATTTTCAGCGCCTGACTTCTCGAACAATGCCGAATACTCTGCAACCTTATCTGGACTCAATGCTGGCACTCGGATGGGAGGAGGCCCTGCTGTAGAAGGACTCGAGGGAGGTCCAGTTGTTTGCTGAGGGATGGGTTGAGGGATAGGTTGCGGTGTCTGTTCGGCATGAGTGCTTTCGAATCGGGGTAAGGGCGCCGCTGCGAAAGATTAGGAACGGCTTTCAGTGTGAAGGATGCTGGCCTACTTTGCGTCGCAAGCTGCGCTGAGGGTGCGCGGCCAGCTTGTGCATGGCCAATCAATCGTAAAACGACTCCGAAGCCAGCTGGGGTCAAGAAGCCTCGATTTTCTACGTCGGCAATCTGCCAGATCTGCAAGCAGTCAATGCCAATTCAGACAGTTTCAGTGTATGCCCTACTTGTCCTAACACGTCTGCCGGCAGCTTGGTTCGCTCAAAGAACTTGACAGCCACATCTCCAGAGACAGCTCCGAAGCCATCGGGATCCGCCTCTTTCAGAAGTTGCGAGTATACTCGTTTCTCCTCCGGGGTGAGGTGGAGGTTCGGATGGCCTGGAATCAAGTGGTCAGGTCCAAAGTTACGGTTTTTAACTGTCAATAGCGAGAACGAACCTGAAGCCGATGAGCCAATAGTCTCCGCCATAACCGAGAATCAATGGGCTGTTCTCGGAATCGCGACCGGTTTGACGAGTGAGATTAGAGACTGCGCGCGGACGGAAGTGACATAGGAAACAAAACATGCAATTAAACGGTGAAGCGCTCAATCGATGTGCTTGGGCAGGTCAAAGAGTCGAGGTAAAGCGAGAATTGGTCGAGAGAAGGAAGAAATGGCTGGGGTTTAGTTCTCATGGGGCTTTAGTACGATGACGAACGAGGAGTTGTAGCTGCCAAGAGGTAGAGGAAGGTCAGTCAATTAGACTGTTTGTTCTAGCCTGCATTTGAGTTAGGTGCCTGGTATCCGTACTCCGTACCTACCATACTCCGTGCACTGCAGGTGGCAGGGTTACCCAGGCTTTCTTTTCTGAGCCTTACCTACGGTACCTACACGTCTGGTTCTTGTCACCACAATCAATTACATGCTGGCGAGACCGGCGACTGCCTGCATTTGTGCAATCCTAAGAAAGTATGTTCGTCTCGCAGAGACCAATTTCAACTCAACACTGTATCCCTGCCATAGGACTGAAGCCATCCATTAAACGCATTCTGGCTCCTGCACGCCTGAAATCCTCCACCAAGAGCTCGAAGAGAAAGCCAAACGTAGAGTACGGTACAAGGCTAGTGCTCAAGCTCAGAACCGTCACCCTCCTCAATCGAATCACTTGCAACCTCCTCGTAGTCTCGCTCCAAAGCAGCGAGATCCTCGCGGGCTTCGGAGAATTCGCCTTCTTCCATACCCTCGCCAACGTACCAATGGACGAAGGCACGCTTCGAGTACATCAGGTCAAATTTGTGGGACAATGCGGACCAAGCCTCGGCAATTGCCGTAGTGTTCGAAAGCATGCATCTATAGATATTAGTTATAATCCTCTCGTGGTAAGAAGGAAACTTACACTGCGCGGTTGACCTTGGCCAAATCGCCATTTGGAACCATCTGGGGAGGTTGATAGCAGATACCAATCTTGAAACCCGTCGGGCACCAATCGACAAATTGAATCGTGCGTTTGGTCTTGAGAGTCGCAACAGCCTGGTGGACGTCGTTGGGGACAACGTCACCACGGTACAACAAACAAGTTGCCATGTATTTGCCGTTACGTGGATCGCATTTGACCATCTGGTTGTTGGGTTCAAAGCAGGACATGGAGATCTCCTGAACCGAGTTGGCCTCATGCTGTGCTTTGGCAGCCGACACCACCGGAGCATACGCAACCAGGGGGAAGTGAATGCGAGGGTACGGGACCAGGTTGGTTTGGAACTCTGCGAGGTCGACGTTCAGAGAACCGTCAAATCGGAGGGAAGCAGTGATGGAAGAGACAACTAGTTCCGGGATTAGCTAGAAGACAATATAAAGACAAGTAGCCTTTTCTACCTTGAGCAATCAGTCGGTTCAAGTTTTCGTAGCTGGGTCGCTCGATGCCCAGGTTTCGTCGGCAGATGTCGTAGATTGCCTCATTGTCGACCATGAAACTACAGTCCGAATGCTCCAGTGTAGTGTGGGTTGTAAGGATCGAGTTGTATGGCTCAACAACAGAGGTGGCAACTTGAGGAGCCGGGTACACGCAAAATTCAAGTTTGCACTTCTTGCCGTAGTCAACGGAAAGACGCTCCATCAACAAGGCGCCAAAACCAGAGCCCGTACCGCCACCGAAAGAGTGGAAGACGAGAAAGCCCTGGAGACCACTGCAGTTGTCGGCGACCCGGCGGACCTTGTCAAGGACTTGATCAATGAGTTCTTTGCCAACGGTGTAATGCCCACGAGCATAATTGTTCGACGCATCCTCTTTTCCAGTAATCATCTGCTCGGGATGGAACAAGCTTCGGTAAGGGCCAGTGCGGACCTCGTCGACGACGTTGGGTTCGAGATCGCAGTAGATGGTACGGGGAACATATTTGCCATTTCCTGGTCAAATCGTCAACAACAGAATCACAACGTCAGCCATCGAACTACTTACCTGTCTCTGAGAAGAAGGTGCTGAAGCCCTGATCAGGATCGGCGGCTTTGCGTTCTTCGGTGAGATAGCCATCGGGCTGGGAAAGGAGTAAGTATACGCATCAGCCAGTGGCAGCTGTGCCACTAACCTGGATCCCGTGTTCGAGACAATAGAGCTGCCATGATCAGTCAATGTAAGTGCACAGGATGAACATCGACGGTCTTACCTCCCAGCATGAATTTGCGATTTGACAGCCAGCCTGGCCGACTATGACACCAGTAAGTTAGTCTATTGTTGAGATTGTGGGAGCCGCAGGTGGAAAGGGGCTTCCGGGGCCAGACGCGTTGTCTGCCATACCGTTGAGACTGATAACTTCTCTCATCTTGAGCCGGTTGAGGTGAGTCAGGGAGAAATGATGGTATGAACAGTGAGAGATGCCAGCAGATAAGCTAGCAACAACGACGAGATGAAGAATTGAAGGGGATGTTGACTGCGGTCTTGAATGTGATTGTGGGGTCTGGGTTGGTTCTCCCTGGCTTGCCAGATTGTTGACGGTGCGCGACTTCTCCTTCACCGCCTGTCCCTGTGGCGGTGATATGTGGGCCAATCGTATGCATTCTTCGGCACGCGTCAGAACAGTCACGTGAACGCGCTAAGTGGCACTCCACAACATCCGATTCCAGTTCGCTCACATAAAAGAAAGCCAGCAAGACCGATTAATTGTTGCTTCATGCTAACGACTTGGAAGTGAAATGGGCTGTCAGCTTCTCATTGTGTGCCTTCTCTGGTTGCACTATGCTTACGCAAATGTTGAAAAACTTATTTTCCTGGCCCCGCCTGCTGAGTCTCTGCCAACTGACGCCAGCATTGACAACCTCCTCTTGACGCCACTGTCTGAAGGATTACCCAGCGTACGAACTCACATCAATGCGAGCTTTGCAAACAAAGAGTCACCAAAAGGGACGGAGACTTGGCTTCTTCTCGAAGGACTACGTCCGCACAGGCGGTACGAAGTCCGGGTTTGCTGGCTAGCCACCGTGAGCGTCTTCCAACTGGTGCATCATTCTCCTATTAATCCTCATAGCAACCCACTTCATTCTGGCTTTACACCCACACGGTCGAACAGACGTTCTCAAATCCGGGTCTTTTGACCTCCCTGAGTACGTATGCCTACTCTCGGCACGAACAACTTCTTGCAGGAGACATCCAAGAACTGCAGTTGCGAAAGTCAAGCCCAGACTCTGTGGGCACCGAGTCGACATTTCTCTTTCTGCAGGTCTTTGCTGCGGCAGATTACTTCAGCCTGAATCGGACATTGATGGAGACAGTGCCTCCTGTCGCCGTGGATATCATACTGGACCCTTACTTCCTCAATGTCCTGCCAAAGTCATTGCTTCCAACCGGGCTGTATCTGCTGATCATTGCATGTGGGGCGTGGTTCATCTCAGGCCAAGTCGCACGTCTCTTCACGGGTTTGAATGCCGCTCAAGAAAAAGACTTTTTGAGAAAATCAGAGTAGCGCTTCTCACGTTTCCACCAACTGAAATGGATCCTGCAACTGGTCAAAGTCGGTCATTAATGAGAAGAGAGGAAACTCCTCAGCGTATGACGGCAGGCTTGGAATGCCTGAGCCCTCCGGCGAGAGATAATCAGTATCTGGCACCCGCTCAAGATCATGCCGCGGCAAGGGTGGGATCGGCTGTTCCCCGGAATCTTCGCCAGTGTAGGCCAGTGCTCCAGATGTTGTGAGCACGGGACCACGGCTTTCAGGAGGCATTTCGAAGCGTAACTGCCATGGCGGTGCTGCCTCTTCCATGGGCTCTGACGTGTCAAAGTGCGCACCTCCGTTGTGCTGCAACGCAGAGACCGGGGTGGCACTCGGGGTTTGATTGCCCGTGCTCGTTCTAGTTGACCTCGCACTATCGCCTTTGTTGATTGGATCACCAAAGATGTTGTGGATGTCTTGCCTCCGTTTCTGCATCTGCTTCTGTTCACGTCTTTCGATATGTTCAAGGGCGGCTAGATGCAGATGTCGGGTGATGGTATCATGTCGGCGCGCCGACATATCATCCTTGGCCATTATAGTCAAGATAGATTCCGCCTGAGTGATACTGCTCAGCAACGGAAAGGACTTGTCAAAGTCCCCGAAGATGGCAAACCCAATCACCATGGCGGAGATAAACACACTGTTGGTGATCATGAATAGTCTCTTGGGGACTCCGGGCAGATAGACCAGGTCCGTTGCGATCTCGATGCTTCTCAAAGCAGCGTCGATACATGCTTCACTCAGGGTCATCGTCACTGAGTTGCCGGCACTATCCTCTTCCTCTGGCTGGTTTTTGATCTTGGAGGAAACCTTAAAGATAAGGAATGGCCTCGTCAACAGTATGATGGACCAGTAGTATGCACCTTTCAGATGAGCGATGCCGATTGTTTGTCGCAACGTCGGGGCTATAGAGCCCACCTTCTGGTCGAGGCTGTCAGCTTGCAATCCCGCCGGCAACTGGGCCGTCCAGTCCCGATATTGTCGAGATATACTCTCCACGAGCTGGACGGATACTTCACGGCGACAATAGACCTCGTTCAGGATGCGTTCGAAGATGAAACAGATCCTCAAGGTCGCCGAAGTGGTTCGACCGTTCATCTGGATATCTTCGTAATCTCGGGTGGAGCGGTTCCACGAAACACTGCCACCGTCGACTTCCGAGGTCGCAGGGGGGCGGCCAAGCGATCCGCTCATATACAAATCCAGTACTCGCAGGCTCTTCCACACTCTTTCTCGCGCGAGCCTTTCGCGAGGCTCAAACAGATTGGATATATCACTTCTATGCAGGCCCAAAGCATAGGCGGCACGAACGGCAATACCCAATAACATGAAGCCGCCATTGCGCCGAACAGCTGCTAGCATGTAGAAGGTAATGAGCGTATAGGCCTGGATGGTCAGGACACTGGGATCTTCCAGAAAGCTTGTCACGCCAATTTCTCGCCCACGCTGAAAATAGAATTCAGCTTGGTCCAGGTCGGATTGACTGGAACTGCGGGTGAGGGCTCCAATCGCCATGACCAGGTAATAGATGGAGCTATTGAAATCCGTCTCGGCCGTCGGATCGCGGGTCCAGGCGCAGAGATGCTCTGTGATATCGTCGGGATCGAACAGATCTATCACGCCGCTCGATGCCAACAGATAATGTTTGATCAGGTCCAGGGCTTCGGCCCGGGTAGGTTTCGGATGCCGAGACTGCAACGCGGTTGGGGGTTTGCGCGGCGGAATCACCTCGCACATTGCATGTCGTAGAGGGTCGGAAGTCAGCTGGCATTCGCCAATCTCACTCTTGACCAGCCGGCGAATGTTCTGCACGAATGCCAGATTGCTCGAGTCGCCGACGAAGAGGAACTTGCCGCGTCCATCGCGGAGCAGTCGAGCGAGCTTCGGGACGGGCGCTCTCGATATCACGGCGTCCGCGTCCTCGTCCTTTTCTTCTTGAGGAGACTTGGCGGCACTCCTTGATCCTGACAACGTCAACAGCGACTCGATGGCGATCTCGGCGTCATTGGAGTCGGTCAAGGCATCCCTCAGGGTCATGGGCTGCGAGGACGAGGCGACACTGTCCTGGCGACGGGAGCCGCGCTTGGAATAACCCTCGCTGAAGACGCACTCTAGGTCGCGACCTCGCCGCTTGCATAACAGGCACGGATGCTGTCCGTCACATTTTTCTTTGCGCCGCTTGCACGTGTCGCATGCGCGGGCTACGCGCTTGCGGTCTTCGTCCTTGACCCGCGGACGAGGCATGACATCACCTCGCCCAGACAGGCGCCGCGGAGGAGCTACAGCCTCGCAGCCTTGCAGCAAGCCGGCAGCAGGTCCGAGAGTCAATAACACTGCAGTGGTGGACGAGTGGGCGGTATTGGCAGTCGGCGTGGGCGTGGGCGGTGGGCGGTGGGAAGTCGGATATAGCACCTTTGGGAAAAGTGGCTGGAAGTGGAAATGCGAAGGCGGCGAAGAAAAACGTCGGAAGCGGGCGTGGCTCCTGGGAAGGGGGAAAGGTCCACCGCACCGACTCTGAGTCTCGCTTCGGAACAGTGTGCGGGGGAACAGCTAACGGAGAATGCGACCACCCCGGCCACCACGAACGAGTCACGGAGAAGCCAATCACACGCAGCAGAAAGGCCAACATGCCTGACAGTTGACATAATGAGCCGAGGTTGCAGTGACGGAGGAGAATCGAGATGAGCTGCTCGGAGATCAAGGTCAAGATCAAGCTTGGTTCAGCCAGACACAACTGTACTCCGTAGGCACCCAAGTACAAAGGTACATCCGACATCCGCCATCCGCCATCCGCCATCTGCTTCAGTACCCGCGGCCCATTCCCGTGGTCACCAGGCCATCCTGTGGACCTGATTCTCCTGAAGCATTGATGGGCGCCATCAAGACATCATACCTCAGCTCCAGCTTAGCCTTATCATCATCCTTCCTGGGCACAAACTCCACCACCAGCGAGTCCTTGACCGCAAAGACCGAGTCGTCCTCCAGATATTTGCTCTGCTTGTCGAAGATCTGCGTGGTGATGGGCTTATATCCTTCAATCAAGACCTGTTGCGTCCGGAGTCAGCCAAAGAAGGCGTTCAAATGACATGACATGTACTCACAATCAGATGTATATGCGCCGGTCGGAAAGGATGTCGGTCTAGCAACTGCAGCAACTTGCCGGCTGGACCATCGTACGGAATAGGGTAGGGTGTTGGTCTGAGGCAGTAGAAAGCATATTCTCCGTTCGAGTCGGTGATGAATTTGCCACGCAGGTTGGAATCGACCTGATCTGGGTCTTGCTGTTCATACAAGCCTGCCACAAAGAGAATCAGCTTCACTTCTGGTCCCAAGCGGCGGCCGACCATGGATTTACTGACCGTTAGTAGAAGCCTCCCACACATCAATGGCTGCGTTGGTCAAGGGCTTCTTGGTGATGGCGTCTACTACTTGGCCGTACATGTACACGATCTCGGCGTCTTCCGGGGTGTTGAAAGAGATACTGGTGCCCTTCTCTCGGACCGGATGGTCTGTTCGGTAGAAGGGACCCAGGATGGCACTCTGGGTGGCCAGGTCGGTCGCTTCCGAGGCCTTTTTGTAGGTGATCTCATCCACCAGTCTGAATAATACGTGGTCAGCACCATGAGACCGAGCAGCAAGGCCGAAACACGACTCACGATTCCAGTCCAACCACGTCACAAACAAGTTGACCCTCGTTCCGCTTGTCGTCGCTCATTTGGCCGGCCCAGTTGATGAGTTTCACACCCTCTGTCCATTCATCCACCGTCAACTCCACTTCCCGCGCGAAATCATGTAGATGTCTGATCAGGCTGGTCATGACCTCTCGCATCCGAGGAGAGGTCTTGGGGCCGGTAGCGTCGATGACGCGCTGAGTGAAGGTAGGATCGAAGCGCGAGGCGCCCGACTTTGTTTCGCCGTTCATCTTGGCTGATGGTAATCACTGGAATTGCAGTCGACAGATCCTGGTATCTGGTATAGGGATTACAACAGGATTCTCTTCAGTTTTCTGAACGTCTGGCGGAATAGATGGAGAGGATCCAGAAGTTAGACCGCGATCCGGGGGGCGGGATTGCAGGCTTCAAATAGACAGGCCCGACTTGCCCATCAGCCGGCCTCGTGGGAAAGGCCAGGCCATGGTATTGTCACCTTATTAGGTACCCAGCAGGATAAGCAGGACTCCATAGCATTGCGCACTCCAGCATGCCAGTGGACTCTGTCGATGCTCGGTTTGGGTGAGAGCGAGACTGCGTTTGCTACCCCGCCCGGACGCCCAACGCCCTGCATCGGATCCTGGGCCGCTAGACTCGTCCTGGACTGGTCGGGTCACTAGGCAGCCAGGTCTGGCATCTTCGCTCGTCGGGATCTGGGGGCGGCATCCTTCGGCATCGCCATCGTGTCAACGGATTGCTCACTACTCCGTACTCATACCAGGTCCTACTACTAGGTCCTACTAGAACTTCCTCCTGCGGCCGGCATCCTCCTTCGGGATTCCACTCGATCGATTTTCTCCTGCATCACAGCCTCGACCTGGACCTCGACCTCGCCTGCGCCCGTTTGTGGCGTGACTAGCTTGCTCTATGCTAACACGGCATTTGGTGAGCTGGATTAGCAATGGTGGCAATACCGGCGGAACCCCCTCCGTACCTGCTTCCGGCAGTCAATTGCGGTTGCTCCACGCCTTCGACGGGCAAGTCCTTACCCCTTCAGCGGTAGGTGGGCGGCGAAGCCTCATGTGTCCCCAAACGTCGCAATGTGATCCAGGGGCCGCGTACACCCTGCGGTGAGATCACTGACACGGGTGCCTCACAAAAATAACGAGATTGAGAGCATGAAGAAGTCTCGCCCCACGGGACGTCCTCCGCTACCCCGATGAGAGCTGCATCTCAATGCCGCCCTGACACCCGAGGAAGTGGGCTGTGAAGTGTGCAATGCTCTGTCTGGCCTTTCTAAAAGACCCTTGCGAAAAAGCGGCGCAACTCCTTCAGGAATGTCTCATACTTTTGGCCAGGTAGTGGTCGATGTGGCCTTGCAGAGCTGCCTCGCTTCAGGGTGTACGACCCTTCCTTTCTCATTCGGAACTCCCGATTTGATCAACCAAGAGGACGGCCAGACAGATCATGTCGTTGCCCTCCTTGGATGTATCTTCCTGTCTTGTGTTGCGCATTACATTACATCAAATTATCTCACACTAATACTACACTCACCCAGAGCGAGATTTGCTGTGGAACAGGAGCGAGAAACTAACACAGCACCACGCATGAAGGATCCTAACATACCTCTTGCACAGCATCTCCATCCCGCCAACTACCAGTCGAAACCACTGTCAGGTCATGCACCCTCCCGATTTCCCCTCCTCATGTCACCAACAACAGGAGCCCTTGATAGGAACTTTTGACAGCACACTTTTGACGCCGTGTCACTCATTTGGACTGATCGCTGTGTTGTCTCGTCGGTCATCACCTGATTCAAATACAGTCCTAGCTTCATGTGCAAATATACCAAATGGTTGCACTATTACTGGCTGTCTTTTTTGGTCACATATCCCCCTCTGTACGGACCCTCTTTACCCTGTCCCTCTCTTCTTATGTCGACCATTTCCTAGGTTCCATTGTCGATTTCATGAGTTGTTTGCAGAAGCCACAGAGCAACAACAGCCGTGAGGTAGCCGCTTTTGAGCTGGACCAAGTTGTCATCGACAACCCTTCCACTCGAGAAAGAATGTCCTGCACACCAGCCTCGTCGCTCCCATTATCGCCCACGGGGACGATCTGTCGCTCCCATAAGCCTAAGAATATCACTATCTGCCCAACTTCACCGAAACAATCGTCTTCATCATCGGGTATCCTCAGTATGCCTCAGATCCCCTTGCCGTGCACCCCTCCGCCACGTCCAGCACGACCAAAGACGTCTCTACCAAACCTGCGGCCCACCATTATTCTGTCGCCGCTTGCCACTGCGCCATGCGTCTATCAGTGCCGTCTCCCTCCTTCCACACCAAGCCCGAGTCATCCCAAACCCCCACGGGCCCCGTTAGTATCAGCATCAAACTCCGAAACACAATGGAAAGGCACGCCCACAGAAGACGTGTTCGCGTCGATGCGCTGCAATTGGGTATGCGGAGTGAAGTCTAGAGGGGCGAGTTCCTCATCGGAGGCTCCGAGTCCGACAGCGACGACTTCGAAAAGCCGAAGACAGCGACGTAGGAGGACGAGACTTCTGCTCTTGAACTCACATTTCCCTCCCAATATCTCTCCTCCTCCACACGGAAACGGCAAGAACATTCTACAAGGAGCGCAAAGCCACAACAGTACCTGTACAAGCTCACCGGCCAGCTCCAGGGCTCTGAGCATGGAATCGGCAGTCACAATATGGCCATCTCCCGCCGAAAGGAACGACTACACAGGCACCACATATATCGCCCCTCCGCCCAGAGCAGAAATTGCAGCTGAGGCTGCACCTCACCCTGGAAGGATTCAGGCTGACCGAATGTGGCGCTGCCCTATTGACATCGACTACAAGGTCGACTGCGCCATGTCCGACTCGTCTCCAGCACCATACGTCCTGAACCACCCGCACCTGCAATTTCTGCAGAAGGCGCCATGGCTCGACCGGCACCGCCGGCTGCTGTGGGTAGCGGGGATGATTTTGGTCGTGGTCGTGGCGACAACAGCCATTACGGGCGGCGTGGTTTGGCGGTTGAGTTTGCGTAAGTTCTTTCATCTGAGATCCCTCTAGTACTTTTATCTGTTGAACCGAGGTCGCGGTGGATTGCTTTGCTATATATCGCACTGCTGGTGAATTCGGCGTAGGAAAGGATCCGGAGGTTTCAATTCTCTTCGCTAGCCTGGTGTTTGCCTCTGTACCCTGCGCTGCAAAGGCTTCATGGTCCTCCACATGTAACGGATACAAAGTGCGCTGAACCAGGCTGAAACCGTGAACTGACGATTCGGCTACCACGCTCTAGTACGATGATGCCCAGATACGAACCTCGATTGATCTATGGAAAGAGTGGATATAGGCACACAATCACTCAGCGTAGGTCGTGGTACTCTGGTCTCTGGTCTCCCGAAATTCTGCAAAGGTCGGCGTACACGAGCAAAGACAAGATACGAGATAGTCCGGACATTGGTGGTCATAAACAGACATAATGTCAAAGGAATATGATTGTCATCATTCGCCGGTAGGCCTTTTCGCACACGTCTCGCTCGGACATCATCTACCAGTAATCTAGGAATCTCCTCCCTCAGCTTTTCGTTTTGTCACCGCTGGTCTTTTTCTTCCCTCCTCCATTTACCTTCTTCCCTTCTTTCCCCTTGGCTCCGGCGGCCTTCTTTCGGTCAGCAACTCTGGGGTCCAGCCCTCGAGCCTTCAACCATTTCTTCTCCGCCCGCTCGAGGATATGTTTATCTTCCTCGTCATCGAACCCGCCGAAATCGTCGCCAGGCTTAGCCCCCTCCTCCAGGCCAAGGGCCGAACCCTTTTCGCCATTGACGGCAGACGTCGTCGAGTCGGCTGTCTTGGCGCCGTCCAAGTGCCCGGGATTCTTGGGCATCGGGCCGGTCTTTTTCAGCTTGCAGACAAAGAAGCCGTCAACGTTCTCGCGGTGCGGGAAATAGCGTCTGGTCAGGGACATCTTGTCGTCGAATTTCTTGTTCATGTAGCTCTTGAAACCTTCAGACCCGAAGCTCCCCAGGCCAGTGTCGACGATTTTGACATTGGGCCGCTTTCTGAGCACATACTGGACCACCGCTTCGTTTTCTTCCACGGTCACTGAGCAGGTGGAATAAACAATGTACCCGCCCGTCTTGCTGCTGTGATCCGTCGAGTCGATGGCCGCCAGTAGAAGTTGTTTCTGCATGTGAGGCAAGGCCAGGAAGTCGCGTTCGTTCTTGGACGTCTTGACGCTTGGATCCTTGCCGATGACTCCGGTACCTGAACACGGCGCATCCAGCAAGACCCGGTCGAAGCCCCCCAGAATTTTAGGAAAGGCCTTTTGAGCATCGTAGTTGCAGACAATGGTATTCTTGCAGTGGAGACGGTGGATATTGCCAATCAGACCCTTGGCACGCTGCTTGTTTGCATCATTGGCAAACACCACCCCGGTATTGCGCATCAGAGCTGAGATGTAGGTTGTCTTTCCACCAGGGGCGGCAGCCATGTCAAGAATTCTTTCGTTTGGTTGAGGAGCCAGTGCCATGACCGGCAGGAATGACGAAGCAGCTTGTAATATGTAATCTCCTGCAAGATACTCTGGTGTTGCACCCAAGGGCACGGGTGCTTCGAACACTTGTAGGCCGACCTTTGACCATTTCCCAACGGGTTCCAGGACGACACCACGGTTGATCAAGGCTTGAGCCAGACTTCGACGGTTCGTACGCAGAGTATTGGTTCGGAGCACCACAGGTCGAGGGGTCTCGTTGGCTTCAAAGAAGGCGAAAGCTTCGGCGGGTGTGAAGAGCGAGAACAGCTTCTCGGCCAGGTACGGCGTGTAGCCATAGTAGGTGCATATATCTGAGAGTAACTGGTCGATGTACTCGGTCCGTGATTTTGTCTTGTCCGCCAACTCGGAGAAGTTTCCAAGGACGCGAATGGTTTCCGTCATGCGATTTCGGATGAGAGCTAGGTCTGGAGCGAGACCTTGCGCAGCCACGGAATCCAACACACCCTCGTCTTTTGCAATGTTTGTCTGTAGTGCAGCATCTTCCAACTCTTGTTGGGCCTCGGCCTCAACCTCTGCTTGCTGCTGGTCGAGTTTTCTGGAGAGACCTTCAATGTTCGCGGCGGTCAGTTGGGCTTCGGCGTCGGAATCGTCCTCGTCGTCAGAAAACATGCGTCTGGGCTGTTCGTCCGGGTCCGAATCAAAGACCGAGTCGTCAGAGACTTCTTGGTCAAGATCCGCTTGTGCGAGTTCATCATCTTCGAGTTGCGAGGAGGAAATTTCATCAAGGGAAATGTCTGCGGCGTCAATGTCGTCCTCTTCCTCTTGTTCCTCATCAGAGGGAGCGAGTAGGGCGGGCGGGACTGTGATTTGAGCATCCCTATTGACCAATTTTTTGTTTTTCTTGTCCTTGCCGCTGCTCACGCCTTCCTTTGATCTTGGAAGCTGCTCATTGCGAAGCGTCCGGTCAAGCTCCACCAGTTTCTTGGGGCCATGGTCGGCGGCCTTCCGTCGTCTCTTCGCAGGTTCTTTGGGCCCATCCACATTGGATTTTCGTTTCAGATTGATGCCGAGTTCTTCGAGGGTGGCAGGAGGCCCCTGCTTTTTCATACGGCGGCCAGGACCCATTGCGCCGACGTCGGATCTCAAGGGTAGCGAAGGATGAAGCCTCGAATAATACCTGAGTGCAGAAAGGCCACTCGATCTGCGGGCAGGCAAAATTTCCAGACTCCACGGAAAAATTGTTTTGTCCTAGTTAGAGAGTTCAACGCGGATAGACGGGGATCGTCGAAGCACTAGCCAGATCTGTGCCTAGTAGGTGCCTAGAGGATATGTGCGTACAGTATTATTATTGCCAGTGTTAACATCAGTTCCCAGTTCCCAGTTCCTGTCATTACGCACCCTATGACCTACCTAGTAGGTGCCTACCTTACCTAAGGTAGGTACCCAGTAGGCCCCTGCCTAGGTAATAGGTACATAGCCCGGGAGGCAACTTTGGATACCTCTAAAGTAAGGTACTGACTGACGTACTTAGGTACCTAGGTGTCCATACAGGTATTCCTAGAGTGACACAGCGGTCTCTAAAACATACTCACCTTACCTAGGTACTTTAGGTAGGTACCTGGTAGGGATACTAGGGTCTAGAGTGTCGTTACATACGCCGGGTAAACGAAAGCTCATCCCTGGCTGGGGAGTGGCGGTGCCTATACGAGTACACTGCACAGAGTATGCTACCTAGTACGGATACTCTGTACTGTACCTAGATACCTAGGGCACTAGGCAGGTGGCACCTAGGTGGGTTGGTACTGGTACAACATACCTACATGGCCAGGCCGAGATCTCTGTCGGCTGACTCCCGCCGGCGTCGCTTGGAGACTGGACCGTGGGCCCAGGGGCCCCTGCAGGCCTAGATCAGCCTCTGGGCCCTGGGCTGCCCGGAATTGCAATGCCAGATCTGCTTTGCAAGGCCAACCTCAGACGCAGTTTTCCATCCACCACCCTCCTCAAGATGGCACCCTCGACGTCAAGGGCGTGGCATCATTCACCCGGATGATCAGCAGCCACAGCAATAATAACCGCCTCTCCCCTACGCCCACACGTTGCCCTTCTCATACTTTTCTACTGTATGTATGTCAAAGCCTTGCTCTGTTCTCAGCCCTCGAGCATGCCCCCGCCCCATGCCGCCATCTCACCCCGCCCTGACGCCCCCAAACAGCTCACCGGCCTAGACGTAGACGGCTCTCCTGTTGGCGACCCGTCCACGGAATCATTATCCGGCGACCCGCGGAAGTATGTCTCGCACGCCTGCGAGGCCTGTCGGTTCAGGCGATCAAAGGTCTGTCCTGTGAAACAGCGTAGAGCTCGGGAGTTTGACTTGTCAATAGTGCGATGGCAAACTTCCATTGTGTTCAACCTGCAAGAAGCGGCGGACGGCATGTACCTACTCGGACGTGGACCGACGCAGAGGCAAGCTGAAGAAGCATGAGACAGACGCCTTGGTCCAACAGGTCCAATCTCTTCAGAGCATCATATCAGCCTTGCAAATCGCCTCCGACGATGATGCTCTCGAGTTGCTGAGGAAAATCCGCCGCAACGAGTGTGACCTCCTCGACAATCTACCTCCCTCCGATCGGCCCTCGCCTGTCAGCGATGTGTTAGCAGACTATCGGAGATCTCAGGAGAGGGATACAAAGCCGGCACTAGAGTCCAACGTCTCGGTAAGCTTTGTGAATTGACCAGCGTCGATAGGGACATGCAACTTACCTACCTGGCGTGACAGACATCGCGGATCTATACCCCAGACGACCTTCCCCCTGAAGGATTGGTTAGACTCGGTCTGGCAGCATACTTTGATTGCTGTTTTACCCTGTTCTACCTTTTCCACGAGCAGGACATTAGCATCATCCTCGAGCGGGTGTATAGGTCCACCGACCCAGTCGATACTGCCACCCTCTGTGAAGTCTGCGCCTTGGCCGCTGTGGGAAGTCACTATGACGCCGAGAATGTTCCCGTGCCGGTGATGGAAGCACTATACCGTACCGCATCCGTCTATATGAATGACTGCGTCGAGGCTCACTATCTGCGTGGCATGAGGACATTGCTCTGTCTCAGCATCTACTCCTTCATGACCAAGAGAAGGAGTGCTCGCCTCTCTATCGGTATATACTTGCGCCCTTATAGACTGGCTTACCCTACGTCTGACATTTCTCTAGCTTCCGGACTACAAATCGCCCGTTGGGCGCGTCTGCATCAACAGGTGACTTCTCATGATTGGCATCTCTGGGGAAGGGTCTATCGGACTCTAGTGTTTATGGAATGGTAAGAAAAACAATAGCTACTACAACCATTGCTTGCAGCGACTGACCAGAGCACCGCTACAGTTGGTTGTCTGCGAGTCTCGGATACCAATGGGATCTCAATGAAGAGGAGCTAAAGGTGCGATTTGTGCCACTACTCAATCACTTTGGAGGCAGGCTAAGCATTTTCGCAGATCGCCCAACTTGAAATCGTCGAGCCCGTACCAACACTAGAGAATGCGATCCAAGGTCAGATGAGCGCTGTCGGCATTCTCATGGCCAATATATTGCAGGACGTATATAGGTCGAGCTCTGTCGTGTTCTCAATCATGAGGAAACACTCAAACCACCTGGACGAGTGGCGACGCTCGCTTCCGGCGCCAATGCAACTGCCATCCATCCTAGATCCCAGCTCTCCGGACGACTGCGGATTCGAGGACAAACACCGAAGATCCCTCGTGCTGGTTCACATTATGGGCTTCGGGGCGCAGATCCTTCTGCAACGCCGGCTTCTTGTCGCCGCGGCCGAATGCAGAATGAATAAACGCTGGAGTCTCGACGGGTCCCGCGAAGAAGCCGCATCTATTCAGCGAGAGTGTGTCGCCGCAGCTAATAGTTGTGTCCAACTTCTCGATGTTCTAGGCTATGCAACGAGCATGTTCCGACGGTGCTGGTTATGCATGTAAGTCAACAACCGTGCCAGCCCCCCTTGTCCTACTAACCTTGGAAACAGTGGCCACGCCTTCAGCGCCTGCAGCGTCCTTCTGTTCGACGCCGCACAATCTGTTCTATACGGAGTCAGAGACGGAGTGGAAGAAACCCTCGCACAGTCCCAGAAATGCATCAATGTCCTGCAAAGTTGCAGCGTCGCGGACCACGTTGCAAGATCAATGATGGACATCGTCCTGCCCCTACACCAGGAGCTTCTCACCCTCGCCAGCGCCAACTTCTCGCATATTCGGCAAAGCGGCATCTACCATCTATTACAGAATCCTCATTCGGCTGGTGGCCCCGACAGTGACCCCCGGACTCAACCTGACCCGAGGGACGTTCTTCCCGTGCGTTCTGCCGCCATCCCCGCCATGCAGAAGGCTATAGAGGTCCTGGGCAACCCCTTTGGCCACCCGAGACGCCTCAATATCGACACCTTTTCCCCTGCGGACCAGGACATACCTAGTTGGTGGAATTGAGCCGGCGCGGAATTCCACCTCGGCCGTCCCAAGTGGCTGGGATGGCTGTTGTCGTTGCAATGTGCTAGCTTGGATCAGTGGCGACGATCAAGACGACGACCACAACCACCGCAGTAACAGCGCAACCTTTCACTATGTCAAGACACTTAGTTAACAAGAGGATCGTCTTCCCACAGGCCACTGCAAAGGACGCTTTTATTTTCACAATCGCATGCTCCGTTCTGCCGGCAAAAAGGCTTACGACAGAAAATTCAATCAAAACCAAGGTCAGACCACACCATGCTAGCCATGACTTCTAAGATATTATGGGATATCGAGCTGAACATAAGGGCCGGTTACCAGAAGTTTAATGGCGAATAATTTCCTTGTTGGTCATGGTGGGGACTTGACTTGATTAATCTAGAATACAGGAAGGTAGGCACAATCAGCGGGCGCCGTGGACAAGTAGATCGAGAGACAGGATCGGCATTAACGACTCTGACACCGCGCTGGTCGAATGTGGTGGAAAAATCTCGACTGCTTTTCTGCCGAGGGACCATGGCTTCAGGAATCTGCTTGTTCCCAGGTTCGGTAGCCTGAAGTAGAGCTGCAGGCATCCTTTGGACTGTGGTGAGATATCCAATCTCACAAGTGTTGTCGCCGGTCTGATGCCGGTGGATATCATGAACCATTCATGCCTCCGAAAAGTGGTGCTGGTGAGGGCGGGCCTGAGCCTGAGCCTGCTTCTTTCTTCATCTTCAGCGTCAGAGGGAAAGGATAGTCATCCGGCTCTTCCTCCTCGCTGGATCAAAATCAGTATAAGTCCTCAAAACGAATCCCCAAAGTGTCACTTACGGCAATCTCCATGCAATGTAGTCCTCCGTACTGAGACCTTCCCTGCCCTCCTGCAACGACGCGAAGTCACCAGGTGTCATCATGCCAGTACGGTCCCTGGGAGATCCTGGAACAGACAGGGGCCTGGAAATCTTTATCTCGGTTCCTCCAATCATATCATCAAAGTCGTCGACGTCGTCGAACGACGCAGGATATGCGCGTCGCAATGCTAGCTGTCGTGCCTTGATATACTCCATTCCCATGCGCTTCCAGTCCAGGAGATCGCTGAGGCGCTCAGTACGGTTCCGTTGATTGATTCGCTGCCTTCGACTCTTTTGCGTATATTGGAACATGCAATCGGTCAATTGATTGACAGAGTCATCAACTCCCTTCATCCGTCGATCCACGATATAGATACCATAATCAGAGGGGTTTTCAATGAGCTCCTAAACGAATGTCAGTCTTGGCGGTGACTTCGGGGTTTGCAGGGTCGTGTAAACTTACCTCCATGTAGCATCCAAAGCCTGAAAGGTTCGTAGTGATCGATGGGACGCCCATAACAACGCTCTCTGCGGGAGTATATCCCCAAGGTTCGTAGTAAGAAGGGAATACACTCAAATGAGTACCTCGAACGAAGTCATCATAGTCCAAGGAGAGCACGGGATTGGCGGAATTCAAGAATTCAGGGTGGAATACAACCTTGACACGATCGGAAGGATGATTAAATAATTGGACTCGGCGCAGTTGATTGAGAACAGGATCCTCAGCATCATTCACCATGTTGTGGGTGACAATCGGGGGGAGGTGGTGTCGTTTCATGGCGAAGAGTCGACGTCGGAGCAGGACACGGTCTGCGGGAGTGATAAGCTCCTTGTCATCCGGCATTGGATCTCCTTCTTTCCAGTGAACAGATCTCTCAAATAATCTCCGACCAATGCCTCCCTCAATGTTCGACACGGTGTCGGCCAGAGCCTTGGTGACAGCCTGGCCTTTCAGAGAATCCACGGAAAGAGAAGTTGTCTGCGCGGGCATTATAATGAATGCGACGACAGTTGTCTTGCTTCCCGCGACCTTCAGTCTGTGATTCAATCGAGCCAAGGATTCAATGAACATATCGACGCCCTTGTTGCGATATTCGTATCTTCCAGCTGTGAAGAAGTACAGAGTATCATCCAGGTTAAAGTCCAGATAGCCATAGAAGTGTCCACGCACAAACTCATGGATCTTCTCTTTCTGCACAGCGTGCAAATTCTGGAATTCGTGGACGGCCGAGAACTTTTTGACATTCAACCCATTGGGCAAGACACCGTCAGGCTTCCGTTTCAGTAGATGCTCACTCTCAAAGGCGGTGATGTGTGAGACAGTCGTAAAGACGTCCGCGCTATGAGCAGCTGCTCTTTCGACACAATATCTGTGATAGATTCCCCGTTTTCCTGCTTCCGCATCCACGTCAAAGAATTGCAGATTGTTGTAGAAATCGACAGACCCGGCACACAAATAACGTCCGAGAAGAGTGGCATGTGTCGTGAAGATCGTGGTCAGGTCCATCTGACGTTTCTTGGTCAAGGGAAGAGCAACTCCAGCAAGCCATTCGTGGAAATGGGCAATGACTGCGCGACCAGTCTCGCGGGAAATGAACTGCGGAAGGTCAGTATTGGACACAATCCTCTCGATCACAAGCTCTTACCTCGCCCAAGAACCAAGCGACCAGGTACCCAAATACAATAGCTTCATTTAACTCGTGGTCTCCAGCAGGGGATGGAATACCGGCTATGGACCATAAATCACTTTTCCACTCATCCAGCCAGCGGTACCCTGTCCCCGTGTTGATCAACAGGACTCGTGGGGCGCCTTCGATTAACCACCGGCCGTACATGATCTCGATGCCGCGCTCCTGCATGGATGATATGGTTTCTCGAAGTGGGCCGGGCGGAGGTTCAAGTTCTTCGACTTCGACGGCGGCCTATACCAGTCAATATACATCCATCAGAACCGCCGGGGAGGTCAGCTGTACCGAGTTCTTGTTGAGGGGTCCGATAAGCGTATAACGATCTCCATACTCTGCTGTCGTGACGGGAGCCTTGGATTTGAGGACCGAGTAGATGCCACCCACTGGCTCGAGTTAGCACATGCAAACTGCGGTGTATGGTGATCAAGTACCTCGATTAGCCACTTCGGTTGCGATCTCGAACAGCAGGTGGTTCTTGATGTCTCTCCTCCCCGTGTCGCCGTTCATTTTGGCGGTCTAGGGCTGTTCGTGGACAGCTCGATACTGCTCTAGTGGACAAAGCTGTGGACAAAGATGTGATGTGGTTTGCCGACGAAAGCTTACCCCACAGAGAGCGGGAGCGAGCGGAAGAATTTAAGAGCTCAGGAACCCAATGCTTCGCAGTCAGCGGTCAAGCTGGTGAAAGTTCAATGCTAACTTGCGACAGATCTCGGAGTGCTGGCAAAGTACAACAGAGAAAGGAATGTGGACGAAGAAGAATTCTGAAGGTAGGGAACTTCGGGGAGGAAATCGAGGCAAGCTGGACCGATGGTTCTAGGGCGCTTTTAGAGGACGAAGGTTTAGGAGGAGACGGGCGAGGTTTGGGGGGCTCCACCGCAGACAAGGGTAGAGAAGGTGACCTCTCGTGATGTTGGTTGATCTAGCCCCGAATAACGACATATGCTTTGCTCGAAAAAAATGCTAGCCTTCCAAGTCTGGTGCTCGTGGAGAGCAACTGGAGAGAATGTTCCTTCTCTGTGTGCGCTGCCGTTGTTGGCCAGGGCTTAGTTGTCTCTTATTGTTGTTGTGTACGGAGTACTGTTTTTCTCAGTGCAGGACAGAGCCTGGAGATGACGGCATGGGGCTGGAGATGCGAGGATCCCAAAGGCACCTAGGCGCTAGGTACCTACGTAGGTATGCGACTCTTCCTAGGTAGCTCCCAAGTACCTACACACACTACGGAGCTTGAGTAGTGCTACGCAATCACGGCACAATGCACCATTCATGCAGCTGTATCTCGGTCAAACGTCATTTGTGTCCTCAGGCTTCTGTTTTCAGTTTAGGCAGTCTTTCTAGGCGCCGTTTAGGCGGTAGATTGCCAGGTGGCGGCCCTGCTTTAACTGGGCCACTCTTCCCCAAAGCATCCCCGAAAGCCTTAGAAGCCCTTGGTGCCCCGCATTGACTCCTAGTCTCACAAGCCAAAACCTCTGGTCAGAGCTCCCTGGGCCAGGTCCAATCAGCGCATTATGCTTCTCATTGCCCTCCACATATCTAGAAAAGCGATGACATTGGTACTCGTAGAGGATCTATCCTGTTGCCGACGGGACGCACTGGCATATCTGAAGACTCTACTTGCTCCTCTTGTAGATCTTGGCCAGAAACACCTCGAACACGCCCTTCTTCAAGCCGGTACTCTCGTCGACGGCCGCAATCAGCTGTCTGATTTCCCCCACGCGCTTCTCTTCGTATGCCCGGTATCTCTTTTCCAGCTGCAATTCGTCATACAACTCCTTGACTTTGGCCTCTTTTGCGTCGTCTTTCTGCCCATAGTTCTCGTCGAGCACCTTTCTTTGCTCCGGCGTGCATATCTGCAAGGCTTGGTTGATCAGCCAGCCACACTTGTTGTCCTTGATGTCCGTTCCGATTTTGCCAATGACCGAAGGGTCTCCAAAGGCGTCCAGATAGTCGTCTTGGATCTGGAAGTACTCTCCCAGCGGAATGAGGATGTCATGTGCTTGCTTCAAGTTTTGTGGTGTCGCAAGTCGAAGGTAGTGAAGGGCCAAGGCGACCGGTAAGTAGAACGAGTAGTACGCCGTTTTGTATATCACAATGAAGGTATACTTGTCCATGCTAAAACTGTTCAGGTCGACATGATCTTCGGGAGCCGTGATCAGATCACACAGCTGTCCCAGCTCCGTCTGCCACGTCACCTCGTGGAACAGCTCGATTAGGTCGAGATAGGCAGGATGCGATCGAAAATGTTTCTTCAGGGTGAGGTATATTCCAGACTCCAGCATAAAAGCATCATTGATCGCAATCATCCCTACTCCTTCTTGTCGATACCAACATGGCTCCCCTCGACGTGTGATGCTGGCATCCATGATGTCGTCGCTCACTAGGAAGAAGGCTTGCAGGAGTTCTGTGAGCCAACCGAGGGTCGCAAGGTCTTTGAATTCGTCGGGTGACAGGGGTCGTTCGAGAAGTTGCGAGCCAGTATCGGGAACCGACATGCCTCTGTTCAATTTTCCGCCAGGGGTGTTGGCGTTGAGGGACTTGCGAGCGCGTTAGCTGAGTACACCGATGCAGAAGGTTATGAGTCGTACTCTTTCGAACCATTGTAGTGCATTGTCGGGAAGTTTGTACTTCCGGGCTTCACCTAACAGGTCCTCCACCAAGGATGGAAACACTTTTTCGAAGTCTGCACGTGGAGTCGTCGTCGCCATAGTGAAGTTGAACAGAAACGTTCTCACAAAGTGTGCAGGATCTGATTCACCCACGGTCAAACACCCACGGTCAAATAATCAATGCTGCGAACAGCGAACTCTGTCGCGGGTGTTGCTGCCCACCGCACTGCGAGCCCGGAGTTTGGAGGCGCCGAGTGGTGCGCCAAGCCAGGTCCAGCAAACCACGTCATCTCGTGCCACCGCGCAGGCTGCGCAGACTGCGCCGTTCGGAGTGAAACACATTGTGATCACACCAACTCAATCAGGCCGGGTAGCTATTGAGAGAATCGGGCATAGCCAGCGTAGCCATCTCACGAGAATGTCACAGCGGCCATCAACGCCTCCTGCTAGGCCCGATGAAACCCAAGCGCGCGCCTCCTTAACCCCAGAACAGGTGAGGAGAATCGAGATCAACCGCCTCAAAGCAAAAGCGCTTCGAGAACAACGAGATTCGGAGGCAGCCGCGATATCCGGCTCCCGGACACCAGGTGCCTCTATTTCTGGTCAGAAGCGCAGCCACGACACATTCTCTGATATCCCGGCCACGAATCGAGATGCGAGAACCGAGGCGGATTCAGGCCGTCCGCTCGAGGCTATCCGCCCGGCGCGGAATTTCACAAAATATGTCGAATATGATTTCAGTAAGATGACAGACACAAAGGGTGGGTTCCTCACGGCGGAAGATGATCCTCACAACAAGGCGATGCGTGCCGATGAGCAGGACAAGAAGCCCTCACACATGACCCAGCAGGAGTGGGAAAGACAGCAACTTTTGAAATCTTTGCGCAACCAGAAGGCGGGACCCTTCGAACCAGGTATCAGTGCCATCAGAGATGAAGCTACACATTCCTGTCGAGAATGTAATACTTTGGAGGTGGACTGGAAGTGGCTCGAAGTTTTTGGTATTGCTGTTTGTAACGCTTGCAAAGACAAATTCCCTGAAAAATATAGCCTTCTCACCAAGACTGAGGCCAAAGAGGACTACCTTCTTACGGACCCAGAGCTGAAAGACGAAGATCTCCTCCCACACCTCGAAAGACCAAATCCTCACAAGTCGACATGGCACAATATGTTTCTGTATCTGAGATGCCAGGTCGAAGAATACGCCTTTTCGGACAAGAGGTGGGGCTCTGCAGACGCCTTAGATGCCGAATTTCAGAGGAGGGAAGCGGAAAAAAAGAGACGAAAGGAGAATAAGTTTAGATCAAAACTGGCCGATCTGAAAAAGCGGACGAGAGTGGAAGCACACCAACGCAGTCGGAAAGGCGGTGGTGGGAATTTTGGCGACGACCTAGGGGATGGAAAGCACATCCATGAGTTTGGTCTTCCAGTGGACAATCCAGAAAGTGGAATTCCATTGAAGAAGTGTGTAATATGTGGCTTGGAAGTCGAAGAATTAGACTTGTAGACTTTACATCTGTATGCTTCCCGAAATAAGACTTTCAAAGTAGCCTAGCCTTGACAGAGATTTGATAGAAGGGTGACCAAGAAAATATCACCAGATCAGAGTAGGGACCTTCAAGTTGGTCCTACGTGCTGGGATAGAGAAAGTTGTGCATTAGATTGAAGCACAAATGTAGTCAGCGTGAGGACACCTGGCACCGTTATAACCGGCGGGAGGGAGTGGCTGCGCAACCCTGGGAAGCCATTGTGACAGACAAGATGCTACACAGTAGATGTTGTTGTCTAGGAAGGAGAATGTCTCCCTTTGGGTCTTCTTGGGTCTTCGTAGGATATAGTAGACAGGTATCTATGTGTGCGACAAATCGACGCTCATAGGCTTCTGTCAGTAGCTGACAGCCACCACGCGGCAGTTGGCACTAACAGTCGCAGCAGCCGCTCCAAACTGCGGAGACTAAGCACAGCTCGCGCTTTGTGACAAAAGGAGTTATTACCATCTTTCCCTTCACGCAACGTCCCGTACAGACCTTCCCTCCCTGTGCTGGACGTTTGACTCTCGGGTTTACTCCGTCTACTGTCGAGTTGTCGATTTTATTTACGATTTCCTCTACTCATCGACACAGCTGATCGTCCTTTTTGTGTGGACCTCGATCGAATCCCAGTGTGACAACACCCATCCTCCTCTCCTCGACGAAGATGGCTAGATGAGAACTCCCTACGCATACGAGCGCCAGCAAGCGCATCATGGCGTGGCAGTCCGGGGCTGGCGGCAGCGGTGTGGGAGGGTCGGCCGCTGGAGAGCCGCCCGGTGTTCAAGCCTATACTCTCCAAGGTGGAACTCACTCTGCAGGCCGCTGCTGCAACTGCTGATCATTGGGTATAGGTGTCATGCGATTCTTGCAGACCGAGTGGCACAGGCATGAACGAGATCGCAACGCCTGGGAGATAGAGCGCGAAGAAATGAAGAATCGCATAGCGATCCTCGAAGGGGAGACTCGAACGAGCAAGGGCTTACGGACATCCCTCGAAAGACACGTCAAACTTCTGGAAATAGCACTGAAAAAGGAGCGCGAAAAGGCCCGGATACTCGACAAGGGCGAAGCTGCCGATGCGCAGAGGGATCCCAAGGAAGTTGCACGGGAGGAATTGAAGAGGATTGGAAAAGGTAGGACCTTGACCTTAGAAATCCCGAAAACCATTGACGCGGGTTAGAATCGTTTTTGAAAAACATCAGCCATCTTGACGCCCAGATGGATGCGGAAAACCATCTTGCCCAAGGCATACGACAAGAAAAAGAACGCGATAAGTCTAAAAGTTACTTGTCCAAGTGTTCGTCTGAAATAACATATCACGTTTTACCTACCACCCACGTACCACCAGAAGTCAACGACCTTCCACCTTCGAACAATGCGAATCATATCTTTCCAGGGCGACAACCATCCCAGCAAGAGCTCCAGGACGCTTATCTGCAGTTACAGCAGATTAAGGAGCAACAGCATCGGAATGTTGCCATGGTCAGAGAGAATGCTACGCAACAACTCCCTCAGTTTGCCGAAGCTCCACCTCTGGCCCGTACAAACACTCAAATCAATACTGAAGAACTGCAAAGAGGTTCCGCGGAAAGACGGATGCCAGAGCATATTGTCCAATCGTTGCCGGTTGTGGAGCCACAAAAGAACTTCTTCAATGAGCAAATGCCTATTACCGAAGAACAAGTCGAATCCATTTCTCATACTTTCGATGCCTATGGCCGCGAGATTTCGCTGCAAAATGATATGCGAGCAGTTGAGGAGCCAAAGCAGGAAACATCTGATGGGTGGGATTTTGACGATGGCCCTGCACCTGCCGACAAACCAGCAGAGGCACCACCACAATACAGGCCCGATACAGAACTATTCCCCAGTGCAAATCTTCTCTCATCCAAGTCTCCACCCCGGCCTCCTGGATCGTACCGAAGGAAGAGCTCAGGAGCGAGACGACGCAGTGAAGGCAATAATGACGTGCGAGAATCGGCCTCGGCGAGACTCGATGCTTCACAGTTCAAAGTCAGGTTCGCTATGAGGGGGCATCTTGACGTTGTCCGTTCCGTCATTTTCACAGGGGGTGGCAGTCCATCAGAACCTGAATTTTGCACAGCAAGCGATGATGGAGGTGTGAAGCGATGGCACATTCCGGCGTCATATGCTCACAGCGTCTCTGTCGGGGATGATCTGGATCGAATTGCGCATTTCACCCATCGTGGTCACATCGGAGCTGTTTGCTCGCTGGCGGCTTGTCCTGCATCGGCAACCTTCTCCAGTGGCGGTCGAGCTGCAGGAGATGGTTGGATCTTTTCTGGGGGCGAGGATGCTACGGTCAAGGTCTGGGAAAGGGGTCGAGTGGATGCGAAAGCAACCTTGGAAGGCCATAGAGACGCCGTCTGGGCCCTTTGCTGTCTACCTGGGTCAACCGGGACCATCCTGGGTGATCGATGTTCTCAGTTTGGTGGACCGGATCGTGTCCTCCTCGTGGCTGGTGGTGCCGATGGCACGATTCTGATCTGGGCTGTCAGCACACCACCTCAGTTGACTTCACCACCAGCTGGGAGTCGATCGGCACGAGGCAGTCGCAGAGCCAATTCGATATCGGCCGGATCCAACTTTCCCAGCTCCCCGCAGCCCAGCGTCGCCAGCACAACGCCTTTTAATTATTGCCTAGTGCACCGGATAGAGCGCGCAGATAAACCGGCGCCCACCTCGATATCTCCCCTCGGCCCTCGTGGGGAATGTTTCGTGGTTGGTTATACCGATGCCAGCATTCTAGTGTTTGATAGCCGGACGGGCGAAGAAATCGTCGGCATGGCCAGCCAGGAAACCTACGACGGAACTCGCAATACTGGTGTCAACGCGGTTGTTGCTAGCAGTACAGGATTTGACACTCGTGACTCGGTTGCCCCTGGTCGGCGCGGGTCTATGGGTGAAGATGATGTGGTACATGGTGCAACCGGATCCGACGACGGCGTCGAAGGCGTTGTGATTGCCGGTTACGAGGATCGGTATATTCGTTTCTTTGATGCTAACAGTGGTATGTTTTCTCTGAGTAAACTCGTCTCGTTCCCGCTGACTCGTAGCAGGGCAATGTACATATACCATGCTCGCACATCCATCCGCGATCTCTTCGTTGTCTTTGAGTCCGGATGGCAAAGAACTGGTATCGGGAGGTCACGATGCAAGCCTACGGTTTTGGTCTCTTGAGAAGAGGAGTTGTACACAGGAAATATCCAGTCACCGCATCATGAGGGGAGAAGGAGTATGCAGCGTGGTCTGGAGTCCTGATGGAAGATGGGTCATCAGCTGTGGCGGAGACGGTGCAGTCAAGGTCTTTTCAAGGACGTGATTGTTGGTGGTCTGTAACTATCGTTGTAGCGGCCATGGCTTGATCCAGAGCCAGAACCTCAGCCTCCCGTATTCAGGAACTGGTAAGATCCGAATGTCAGGGTAGTCAAATAAAGGTCCCATCTCAACGGTGGATCTTGATCGTTTCCAGGTCTCTGGTCGTTTGCTTCATGACCGAAATCTCTACCGAGCTGCGGTGCTGGAGCGCAGACTCTGATCTGATGCCACAACCTAGAGTTTCTGCCTCCAATCATGTGCCGCGCATATCCAAGCGGGAACTAGAGAGTGATGAGTCCAATGGAACCAAGATTAGCCTCAGGTCGTCCTCAGGCCCAAAGATGGAATGGAATGCACTCGTGTCGAGATTCCGATGTCGAAGTGTCTGTACCAGAGTACCAAAGTACGTACCAGAATAGATTTCGGATGGTTCGGGTGGCACTGACATGACCGCAGTCAGCCAACCCACCTTCTGCGCCCTGCCTGCGCCCTGCCTGCCCCAGTGCCCAGTGCCTGTGCCCACATTTGGCCTGCCCTCGATGCCCTTGCAAGCTGCACTTCGGATCCACGGCGACGAGGTCGTGCCTCGGGTCCCTGGCCGCATGACGCTTCGTCTCGGCGTTTGTCATATATTGCAAACTTTGAGCGACCCGTCCTGCGATACGTCCAATACCAGCCTTGCCAGCTGTATACAACCTTGCCGCCTGCTCGTCCTCTCCACTCCAGTCCCGCCAAAAGCAGGACTTCAGGCTCGTGCAAATTGCGATCGTCGCCCTTCCGCAGATATGCCTGTGCAATATGCACCCTGTCTATGCGTCCGGATGGCATCCCACGGTAGGTGGAGCTCGTTCCGCGCTTCCTGCTCCATGGCAAAGGCAGAGGCGAGGGCAGCGGCACAATTCTTAAAAGACGCCTCGTGCGCAGTCAACACATTTTGGATCACACTCAGGGAGTCCCGTTACATACGACCATAGAGCAGACTCTTTCCCCTTACAATACCGCAGGTCGCACAGTCGATAGCCAATACGGACACTGCTTAACCAGCCTTGTCTCCCAAGTTCGGTCGTTTCCTTGTTGTCCTAGGATTGGAATCTTCAGGTGTCACGCCCTGAGCAGCAAGCACCGTTTGGCCCAAAGCACTCGCTAAGCTCCCTGTACCGTTCTGAAAGCGACTTCAGACCCCGACGCAGCGCCATGCCGTTCTTGAATCCGTTCAAAAAGTACGAGTTGGTCGATTTCGAACATGTGGTCGTGCCGCTCAGCCATGCCCCTCGTCACCCCGTCGTCTTGGCCGAGAACAAGCGACGAGCCTCTTTCTCCTCATCCACCAACGACTCGACCTTGAACAATCAAAACACAGTCGAAAAGGCAGGTTCTGCTGACCCGAACAGTAACGACGCCTTGACCATTCAGGCTCTCCGCGCTGAGGTGGAGGCCGACGTTGCCGCATCCGGACGTGATTCGGCCTACGATCGAAAATCCAAGGTGATTAATAAAGCCATCCAGGATATTGGGATGGGCCAATACCAGTGGAGACTCTTTGTTCTCTGCGGCTTTGGCTGGCTGGCTGACAACCTCTGGCTTCAAGATGTCGCCTTGACTCTCCCATCTCTGAGTGCTGAATTTGGAATCAGTGAGGCCAATGTGCGCTATACCACCCTTGCCTTGTTCACTGGTTTGTGCTGCGGTGCAGTCTTTTGGGGCACCATGAGCGACGTAGTTGGCAGACGATTAGCTTTCAACTTGACCCTCTTCATCACATCAGTGTTCGGGATCGCAGTTGGCGGGGCCAACACATGGATCCAAACCTGCGCCCTGTTCTCAGCGCTCGGATGCGGCGTAGGTGGTAAGTTTGCGTCCTGTGTTTCGACCATCTCGGCGTAGTACACGTCCGGCTAACTGTACAGGTAACCTGCCGGTGGATGGGGCGTTGTTTCTCGAGTTTCTTCCTTTTGCATCAGGAAATCTCTTGACAATGCTGTCTGTCTTCTGGCCATTCGGTCAACTACTTGGCAGTGTGGTGGCTTGGGGCTATCTTCCCAACTACTCCTGTTCGTCAGATCTACCGGCCTGCAGCGCGGTGGCCGAAGGGGTGGCTTGTTGCACCAAGAGCAGCAACATGGGATGGCGGTATCTCAATTACACTATGGGTTGTTTTACATTTCTCATGTACGGATACTTTCTGCGATTTCTGTGCCAGTCGCAAGGCTGAATCTCTCTAGGTTTGTCTGTCGGTTCTTTCTCTTTCACCTCTTCGAGTCGCCAAAGTACCTTCTCTCCAGAGGCCGGCAGCGTGAAGCTGTCACAGTGGTTCATGCCCTTGCATATTACAACAAGACGAAGACCTGGCTCACCGAGGACATATTGAACGAAATCGGTGGCCACCCGGCAGAGGTCCAGCAGGCAAAATTGAGTACTGTGCAGATTATCAAAAGGCAAGCCGAAAAGTTCTCGACAGAGAGGATTAAGCCGTTGTTTGGCTACAAGAGACTCGGAGTTAACACCGTCCTCCTCTGGTTCATGTGGGCTACGATTGGCATGGGGTGAGTGTCATATATTGATATTTCTGCAGTCTAGTAACTGACTTGACCGAACAGATATCCGTTGTACAATGTATACTGAACCCCCGTTATTTCCCTCATGTTGCTGATTGGAACAGGCCTTCTTGCCTCAATATCTAACATCTGTCGATCCGGATGCTCCCCCAACTCCGACCAGCATCGTCTACCGCAATTATGCCATAACCTCCATTGTTGGCTGTCCGGGAAGCATTATTGCCTGCTACACGGTGGACATCAAATACGTCGGACGAAAGGGCACCATGGCAATCTCCGCGTTGCTCACTGGCATATTTATCTTCCTTTTCACAACTTCGGCCGATGCAGACTTCCAGCTAGCATTCAGCTGCTTGGTCGCATTCTTTCAGAACATCATGTATGGTGTTTTATACGCCTACACTCCAGGTACGGGCGTTGCTATCGTTTGTTGTTGATAGGAGTTGATGTTTATTAACGTGTGTAGAAACCTTCCCGGCCCCGAACCGTGGCACTGGAACTGGGATTGCCTCTTTCTTCAATCGCGTCGCAGGTCTGTGTGCGCCTATTGTGGCGATTCACGGATCAGCCGCGAACCCCAAGGTCCCGATCTACGTGTCTGGCGCCCTCCTGTTGGCATCATTCATCGCCATGGTTTGTCTTCCAATCGAGACAAGAGGAAAGCAACCATTGTGAGACCCTTTGGCCGCTTATTCATCCAGTCAGCGATGTTCCGGTGGAGCGACGTCAGAGCATGTAGGATGGAGAGCGTGCGAGGAATTCGGGCGGCGTCCTTGATCCATCAAAGCTTCGCAAAAATCGATCAATTGCTTTGAATCGAATCATCAACAATATATGTCTCTGTCTCTATGCCTCATAACCGCTTCTTGTCACCGCACTGCGAAACAACATCTTGCCGTTGGCGCCACTCGTGGTTTTGCTTTCCTGACTTCGCTGGACTTGGGACACCCATAAAATCAGGGCGACAACATGACCAGTAAGCGTGGTCCGGTGTAGTGAGTACAGTCACGAGGTCTTTCTGAGTGCGCACCGGGCTTACAGCTTGAACCCAACTTCCGCGACACTGGTGGCCACCACAGCAGCAGATATGGCAAGAAAGACGCTTTCATCACTATGGAAGGGGTCTTGTATCGCCGATTGCAACGCGTTTCGCAACGGCCACGTTGAAAGCCAGCCGCCCTGTACGGAGCGGACTCCCAAACCTACCTATATGTATGTACATGGTATGGTACGATAGGTATCCGCCATCCCGAGTGAGATGTTGCAGCCTTGTTCCGGACCTGTCGAACAGGCTTGTAAATGATCAAGTTGCTAGCCCCCTGCAGTGGAGCACGATTCTCCGTCCGATGTCGTGACACGGTCTTTCGACGGCTCATTATTTGAACGCTGTCCATGCCTATGTATCCCTGATGTACGACACAATATATATGAGGCCCTGGTGGCATGATCTATTCGAACACGACACGTCCGGCTGGGACCACCAACACACACTTGTCTTAACGACCTGGAACCGTCGACAGATGGAAGAGACCTAGCCCAGCCCAGGCCAGCCTAAACCTATACGTGCAATTCAGTGACTACAGTCGGCTGAGCCACACTTGATGACAGTGGCAAGTACGGAGTACAGTACTCCGCATTTGGGGCGAAAAGACAAGGCTCAGTTTCAGCGTTATTAGTTGAATGGGGCTGAGCAAAAGACGATGGGAAATTAGCCTTCAATCTTCCGCAATCCTTCTCCCTCTGGTCCATGGAATGGAGTCTGGGCGCCTGATGGACGCACTGACCGCAAAGATTTCAACGAGTGGCAATGCCATTGTGTTAACGTGTGGTCAATAGGCTCGAGCGTCTACGATTATTCAGTCCTACTTACTGTTACTAGTATTCTCGCGCATACTGTGCTGCATCAACTTCAACTCCTGCGGCAGCTTCATCTCCATCGTCTATCTATGTCCTCGGGTCTTTCTATTCCTTACTACCTGTACCTTATACTTTGAATTCAAAGTCGCTCCTTTACAAGCCGGGTGGATACACCTAAGTGCCATCGCCATCACCATCACCATCGCCTTTCGGACGGTTTCGATGCTCAGATTTGCTCTTTTCCTCGTTGCCATCCTTGGATACCTGCAGGTCACTTCCAGCCTGGCAATTGAATCGAGGGGCACCACAACACGCTCTTGTGCAGCCCGACCTAGCGGCCTCTGGAAACCGTCGCCAGGCACGACATGGGATTACCAACTTTCCCACCCGATCACGTCGGCATCGTCATTGAACACATCGCTGAAAGTTTGGGACGTTGATGTGTTCGACAACAACGCCACCACCATCCAGGCCATTCAAAGTCTAGGGCTGAAAGTGATCTGCTATTTCTCCGCCGGAAGTTACGAGGACTGGCGACCGGATGCCTCCTCCTTTGACGCCGCCGACCTGGGCAGTGACCTCGACGGCTGGCCGGGCGAGAGATGGCTGAATGTGTCATCCCCGGCCGTCCGCACCATCATGGATGCCCGCCTCGACCTGGCTGTGCGGAAGGGGTGCGACGGCGTCGATCCCGACAACATCGACGGCTACGAGAACGACAATGGCTTGAATCTGACCCAAGACGACGCAGTCGACTTTGTCTTGTATTTGGCGAATCAGGCCCACTCTCGCAACCTGTCCGTCGGCCTGAAGAACGGCGGAGCCATCCTTCCAGATGTGATCGACTGTATGGACTGGAGCGTCAATGAGCAGTGTGTCGAGTACAACGAGTGCGACGTCTACGCGCCCTTCATCAAACAGAACAAACCCGTCTTCCACGTCGAATATCCCAAGGGCGACGACGTCAACAACAACGATGACGTGAGCGAAAGCACGAAAGAATACATCTGTGGCGATGCCTCCGCCTCGGGCTTTTCCACAATCCTCAAAAACATCGATCTCGACTCATGGATCGAGACTTGTTGACTATCCGACCAAAGTGCAGCCAGTGGTTCAGCATCTACGAGTGTTGGAACTACTATACTATTGCCCAACTTCGAGCCATATCAATATAGCTTACTGGTACTGCTAGTTGCGGTTTTGTACCCTACTATTCTATAGCTGTAGATTTATATACAGTATTACTATGTATACCAATAATAGTAGCCTTACTACCTCTCTCTTTCGCTCTCTCTTTCCTCTCTCTTTCCCTCTCTCTTTCCCTCTCTCTTTCCCTCTCTCTTTCCCTCTCTCTTTCCCTCTCTCTTTCCCTCTCTCTTTCCCTCTCTCTTTCCCTCTCTGCTTCTCTCTCTCCCTCTCCCTCTCTCTAACTATATAAGGTATACATAGTATATAGTGAATAGTAGTGATACCTAGTACCTACTATATAATTCTTAGTACCTAGCTATAATACTAGTCCGGATTAAGCCGAGACTAAACCAGATTAAACCCGGATCAAACCCAGATCGAACCTACCTTATATCTAATACCGCCCTAGTACTAAGGTCTGAATTAGTACTATAGCTGTGGAACTAGTAGAGTTTGAAGGTTCCTATTCTGATTCGCCCGCTAGATATGTACTGTATATACTAGGTTAGTAGTGCTACCTGCTAGTAGAGTGCGGAGAGAAAGAGGTACATCACCTAGTACTACACTATTAGTACATACATACCTACTATATAGCAGGATGAACAAGAGCGAGTCGTCCAGCCATTGAAAATGCCAAGTTGGGTGACAATTCCGTCCCACTTATGAGCCATGGACCACCAGAAGAGCGCCTCGGACGCTGTGGAAATGAAGTCGGTGTCAATGTCGTCCAACTCTTCAGATACTAACTTCCCCTCGATCATCGAGTCTTTGTACCGATCCAGAATCTCTCCTAGGCTTGTGATGGCGGGAGAACTCAAAGTAAATGGAGAAGTGTCGTACGCCAATCGGACAATGTTGCGCAGCTTATAGGTATCCAGATTCTTCAAAAACATATCAGCGAACGCTTGCGGCGTCGCACGGCACTCTTTCAAGTTGACAGATATGTGCCTAGGCTTCAAGTGGTTGACGACAAAGGTTGTGGAGCGGTAGAACATTGGAGTCCACTCTTCGGTGATCTGGCGACAGACCAGTGTAAGATTCTTGCGGGCTTCAACAAGGAGTTGACGCGCTGTGTCGGCCGCTTCGTCAAGTTCGTCAAAATCGCGGGGAGGGACCGGGGTGAAGCAGTTGTATATCTGTAGTCTGGCTTCCGCAGGAAGATCAAGTAGGGATAGTTGGGTTGGTCCTTCCTTGGTTGGTCCTTCCTTGGTTGATCCTTCCTTGGTTGATCCTTCCTTGGTGTTGACCTGGTGAACCATCACGACGTAGGGCGGTGGTAGTAACTCGTCCGATGAAATCATGGTGTGATGCATCTTGTTTTGGGGTCGACGGTGAGGGTGAGGATGGGCTGTGGAAGTGAGATATCTGACTGATTATGTGCACCAGTGGTGTTCTCACGACGCTAGGTAGTAGATGAGGGCACTGCAGTTATGTAAGAGTGGGTTGAAAGTCGTAGGAAACGACTGAAGGAAGAGAATAAAGAGTGAAGGAGGACGCAAGAGGTGCGGCTGGACCCTTCACATGAAGCTGCAGTTCAGGCAGTGAAGCAAATCAACATTTCGAGTTGGAGCTGGCAAGATGTAGAAACTTGAAGATAAGGTACTAATCAATTATTAAACACTGTAGAAGTGTGAGCTAGTACCCTTAATACTCCCAGAGAGGATTTGCCTACAATCTAACAAAGAATTTGTAAAGGACTGTGGGCAAACAACGGTGGTGAGTGCGGTGTTAAAGGCCTTTGTCAAACCCTTGTCTCTCTCTGTACGTACGACATGTCACTCGTTCAGGCAGTGCTACTTACTGCCTAGCCGTGCCTTGCCTACTATGTATTCATTATGTATTAGGTATACATACATAGCCTCACATGTCATCAGACGTCGTCTATATCTAAGCGATCCGTTGATTACCATGTAACACCACATTCAGTCAATGAGGGAGATCGCGCGAGGCTATGCGGCGCGGCAAGCTGTTTCCCCTGACCTCGACATCTTCACGCTCCACCGTATAATGAGTGTACGGCAGAGTACTCGTATGCCGCACGGTACTATTTTGGTGTCTGTTGTCTGCTTTCTAAGAGCTTGCAAGGCACCAGAGCCAGATGAACCCGCCAGCTAGAAGGCTGTATTCGTATATTCATATATTTGTGTATCATGATTTCGATTTTGTTCTGCCCGATGCACTGTGATCTGCTGTAAACTAGGCGGCCATTCCACCCTCTCATCCACTTGCCTACTGCCTTCAGCCTTCGTTCAGCCTTCAGCCTTCCTGGACTCTTCCGAGTCCCAGGACGGGAAACTGGTCCAGTTACATGGAGTGAAGCGACGCTGTTCTGTAACCCTGATGTGTCAGTGATTTATGACCTGTTCGCTTCAATCTCAAAGACACCCTGTTTGTAGACCTAGACACCGGTGGTTCTAGAATCTATTGGCAATCTTGTCTGCGATACTGCTTCGGCGTCGACCACCAGCAACAGCTAAGCTCTGGCGACGAACAGTCTCGACAAAGTCCTTATCGTTGTCAACGTGGCCATCGAACGACCAAAGCGCGGGGCAAGGGCCGATCTTGCGACGGAAGATATAGGTCTTGATCCACCAAGGGAGAACAGTGCCGACCTGGTGTTTCATGAAGGTACGGGTCGGGATGGCGAAGATGTAGTCGAGTTCCTCCTGCGGGCGTTGTCAGTGGCGATTCGCTTCCACGATGACCAGGAATTGGGAGAACGCTCGATACGTACCAAGGTGCGTTGTTTGGTCTCTGGCAGCCACAGGAAGATCATGACAAATGCACACAGGTTCAAGCCAGCGTAGAAGCCGAAAGCACCTGTGGGAGTCATGGCCGCAAGCATTCGAGGGAATGTGATGGAAAGGACAGCGGCCCAGAATAGACAGGTCGCTACGGCCCAGGACATGCCCACTTCACGATGCGACAACGGGAAGACTTCGGCTGAGTAGGTGAAAGGCACAGGTCCTTCGCCTGGCGAGTAGAATGCAGCAAACTGTCGGGTGTCAGTTCAACTTGGGCCATGAGAGAGGGTTAGAACGAGTCTTGTTTCATACCAGGTAGATAAACAAAGCCACAAGACCTAAATGGGCCGAACTGGAACTGGGAATCAAATAGCAAAGTCCGGCGGCCAGTAGTGTCCAGGCCATATTGGGGAAGGTGAACAGCAGGAGAGATCGACGCCCGAAGGTATCGATAGTCCAGATGGCCGGCCACGCAAACACAAAGTTCACCAGGCCGAATCCCCATGAGGCCAGAAGAGAGTTAGTGATAGAAGCACCGGCCTGCTCGAACACGGTGGAGCTGTAAAAGGCGATGATGTTAACTGCAGAACGGGTCAGCCTGGATGTAGCCCGCCTGAAGAAGCTCTATGGAACAACCTACTTCCGCACATCTGCTGCGCAATCATGACAGTGAAGGAAGCCAAGGTCGCGCGCCGCACCCGTGGAATGGTGAACAGCTGAATGAAGCGAGTGGCATAGTTGGTATTTTTCTGCACCAGGGCAGCTTCCATACGCAATTGAGCAAAGATGTAGTACAAGTCTCGGGCGGCTTGGAGTTCAGTGTTGCGGAGCCTTCTGAGAGACCTGAAGGCCTTTGAGTATCTGCCTTTCTTGATGTACCACCGGGGCGATTCTGGACCAAGTCAGCGAGTCCTATGCTTGTGCCTATTTGGCCAAAGCGACCGCGGAGTGACTTACCGGGACAGAAGTAGATTCCGACCAGGAGTGGCACGGCTGGGATAAAGGCCGACCCAAACTGGAGTCGCCACGAGATTGCTCCCGTGTCTTTGACAGCAAGGTTGGCGCAAGTGCCTAAGAAGATGCCGAAAGCCGTCCACATCTGCCAGCACATGACCAAGCCCCCTCGGATTGATGCAGGAGCATTTTCGGCGCTGAAGATTGGTACAGTTGACCCTTTACATCCCATACCAATACCAAGTAAGAGCCTGGTGACCAAGAGTTGTTCCCAGGCTGAACCTGTTAGTACGTTCATCTTGGCTAATCGGCGAAGTACTCACTTTGTGCACAAGCGCTACCAATGGGGGACAAGAAGCAGAAGACAGCAGACGCGAAAATAGTTCCACGGCGGCCAAAATACTTATTCAGTGGATCCGAGCACCAGCAACCACTTAACAGTGCACACATTAGCAAGGTGATTTGGATAAAGGAGGTGGATAGACTTACAGCAGAGCAGAAGCAATGTAGGGGCCTGCATTGACTAGACCTTGATACCACTGGTTGCGAGAGGCATTGGGATTTGGCGAGCCATCAGCCAAGGTATTCGTGATGGGGATGCCTAGGGCATCTGGGAACGACAGATTGGCGCCATTGGAGCCGGTCTGGTCCCAGCCTTGCACAGCTGCGCCGATGGAGCACAGGATGATGGTGAAGTAGAGTGACCTTGGCTGCCTCCATTTGTGCAATACTTCATTTCTGATGGCCTCCATCTCATCCTCGGAGAGGCCTGGGACTGTTTCGAAGGCCGGGGGATCCTTTGCAATAAGGGCGCCTTTGACCAGCATCGGCGTGTATTCCTCTAAACCGCTGGACCTTGAAAAGTCTTCCACGTCCTTGATGACCTGTTCATTGGTAAGGTGTGCCAGAGGATTCCGGATCCTGCGCACAGGATCAGTCGTCAAGCCAAACATGGATTATGGGGGTGATCCTACTTTGCAGCGATACTGTTTTCTTGCTCGACATGGGCTGTATCGTGCTTTTCGTCGACGTACTTCTCGTTAACACCACTAGCCGGACCAAGTTAGCAAGCATCCTGAGATGAACGAGGGCGTGATTTTCCTACAGGTCTTCTTGGTCGCGTGAGATAGGTTGATCTGGAGACGCCATCTTGGAAACGCGACACCAGGCTGCTCAGAGTTGGAATATATGCGAACAGGAAGTCGATTTAAATGTGCGGACTCGTCTGACATTTATCGGGGACACTCAACCCCCCCTGGCATATCTCCAAGCGGGGAGATTGACTACTCTCTAGAGAATGCGGAGGCCTCAGGGTTCCCATGTGACGTTCAGCGACCTTCTATTCTGAATTTCGTCGGCCTGAGGCAGATCGAGCATCGGGCTGTCCAGTTGCAGAGCACTCACGTGGGAGATGACAGAAGAATCAGACTAGCATAAGCTAGAGGTATCCCGCGTCGAGGTCAGACTGGGTGGTTCGATGTATCTGGGAGCATGGATGCTCGAACAGAGCAGGCAGTTTCTGACGACAGCGGTAACTCTGAGACAAGATCGAGGGGTCGCCTCGAGGTCAGCGTTACAACGCCTGGTGTTTGACACTGGAGAATGACGGCGTCGTGCATTGCCTTTGATAGCGGACCGGGGCCTCGACTTTAACCACGCATGCTTATCCCTGTCTGGTATTGACCTTCTCTTAGTTGACTACCAGTAGCTGTTAAGCATTCTCCGCGTTGTGCTTAAACAACCTAGATGCGACTCCATCTACTCGAACAGCCGACCAACTGCCGGGCAGGAGCTTGCAGCAAGGATGTTGAGGGTTGCAGGTGGCGGGTAGCAGGTGGTGCCGCGGCATAGGTGTGAGAACGGTAATAACAGGTTGCACGGACTCTTTGTTCCAATTATCTGGATCTGCCGTCGTGAATGTTGCTGGTTGGCGTCCCCAAAGCTGAAGGGTACGGCATACAATAGAGTAGTGTAGTTGGGATAGGCTGCTTGCGACAACGATGATCATGTCCCTCTTGGGTGGTTTAGGCGTGTGACAGTCCTTGTAGAGTACAGATCAGAGCTGTCTAGGCGAGATGCAGACTGAGATCGGCGCATTGGAGGTCGGAGGTCAGAGGGGTTTTGCTGTAGACCCTGTCCTGTCTCTTCGGGCTGACCGTAAGGTGGAGGGAGGGATGGCTGCCAGCTGTCACATTTCCGGCTGCAACGCTTGCTTCCATGTGAACTCTTCCTTTCGGCTGCTCTGACCTGTCTATGAATCACTGCACACGTGCCAGGCCTGAAGTGTAGTTAACTTTATGTAGCACGAGGGCTAAGGCTCACTGGGGTCAGCACACGCGGGGACCAAGACACCATACAGGCACATCGATGATGCTATATCCGGGCACCTACCGGGCGTTTGGGGTTCGTCTCCAGCTTCCCCAGTCTTTGTCTTTCTCTTTGTCTTTCTCATTCCTGGAGAGGTCATCGGCACGATCCGTGTCACGCGCGCCTCGAGATTGTCGTTTCGTTGGAGGAGTAACTTGTTGTACGCGAGGGGTGATGACGCCGCAGGTGCGGGCTGCAGACATTGTAGTACGTAGTACCTAACGTACTGTATCGTATACCTAGGTACCTAGTATCTCATGGCGCACGTGACCATTCCTCGCTTGGCACCAACTGCGACCTCGCCGCCTTCCCAACTCGACAGTTTTCTCTGTTCTACACTACATGTATTTATCAAAACGCAGAGATCTCTCTTACTCGATTCGTGAGACATCGGACTTGCTTCCAGCCGAATTTTATTTCAGGCTCGTGAGACAATCCACAGATATAGGAATATGCATTTGCATTCCATACTCCAATGGGGCTGGAGGTTTCCCTTTTGCTATCGACGTTGTTGTTATAAAATCCCCCATTGACTCCGGCACGCACTCAAGGCCACCTACCTACTGTAGCCGAGATGTAGATATGGCAGGCAGAAACCCAGTGGCCCAGACCCGACCCCGGGTCGCTTCTTTCAAATCCACCATGTAGGGGTTCAATTGTTCGAGACAAAGAAGCGCACGGATGCTTGTTGAGAGACTGCAGCATTCCAGCAATATTGGTTAAGGGGTCAATGACTGCCCCGAGCGGCCTACACGACCAGCAGTTTCCTCGAGACTTGCGCGGAAATGAGTGTTTTCTTCGCAGCCAATACAACTCCTCTTGATGCCAGCTGCCAACTGCTAACTGCCAACCCTTCCTCCTCTTCAACATCAATGTCCGACAGACTGAAAGCCCTCTGAAGAGGCGCTCCACCGAATCCCTGCATCTTACCATGGGCATCAATCAGCTGACGTGTCGAACAGCATTCATTTCATTCATGCCTTCACAGCGGACGAATTGCTAAATTCGCCACAAAGAACCATGGTTGAGGCCAGGGCTGGAGATAAAGAGGTTACGCAGGACCAGAAATATCAAACACAAAGGAATACGGGATAGAGCATGGCATGGCTATTTTTGCAACCTGTGCTTCATTGTGCTCAGCATGCAGGCCAGATCCAGCCTGGAGGGTTCAAAGATCCCGCATTGCAAGCAAACACCCAGTTTCCATCACCTCAACTTCAGGCCGGCATTCTGCAACTGATCGCATCTGACTGTGCTCGCGATTTCCAGCACGGCACCCAGCAATTTTGTTGCAGATCCTGGGTCTGATCCTATCTCACCACTCCAGCAGTTAAGAAACGAAAAGGCAATAAAGATGATTCCATCCACCCCTGCGTCGCCGACCCTTCCACCGCCGTCGCCTCGATCACCACATTCGCCCGGCACCAGTCTCAAGCAGCAAATGGTCGAATCGCCAACTCAGTCAATGACCACATGCTCGCTCCATGGAATAGACTCTGTTCTCAATGCAGTTTTTGGCGAGACTTCAGCCTCATCCACCGCCGCCACCAACGAGCGGCTATATCAAAATGGCTCGAACGGGCCCATCTGCAGACGCAACAGCCTAACTACGCCGGTCACCTCGCCGACACAGCTGCGGATCTCAACGCCGAAGTTGCCTGGCTACCCCGTGCGCACGCCTGAGAAGGCCTACTTCCAGAGCACCCGAGAGGACGGCAGGACGAGCAGGATGGCCATGAGAAGTCCGCGAATGACACTGCCACTGCGAGTCAACACCGGCACAACCACACACAGCAGCGCCACGAGTACTGTTCCTGACTTCCCTCGGACCATGACGTCCATCAACGAGGACGGAGCTGAATCTCCATGGTCTGACACAACGACGCTGTTGAATTGGTCTCCGCCGCCGTCGTCATCGACGTGGAAAGCAAGCGCAAGCGCCACCGCGACCGCCTCGCCCTTGACCATGCGCCACACAACCAACTCAAATCCAAGCAGCTTGAAGAGGCTCGCGAGATCTCACGTGCCCAGCCCGATTTTCACCTCGACCTTGACACCGACTCGGTCGCCGATCCGCAAAAAGCCACGCTCTTGCTTGCGTTTCCGCGCACCCCCAGCGCCCAAGTACTATGTCGTGGTGCGCAAGAGCGGTAGCGAGCCTCTTTCACCAACGACCCTGCGCAACCGGATTCAGTATCTGAACAGTGTGGAGCACTTGCGGGCGCCACTGGTGCCGTTGATCTCGGTTACCAGTGGCCTAGCGCACCCAGCCTTCCCAACCAGCCTGCTGCAGTACCATCTACTCACGCACGACCAGCTCGACGACCTCGCCAGGTGGTACCATCAGGTACAGCCGCCTGTGGACGAGACTTTCATGTATCCCGTGTGGATCCCCGCGTGGACGAGTCTGCATCCGGACGCCAGGGCATCCAACGAGAACGTCATCTTCAGCAACACTGGCAGCGCTGCTGCACCAACGGCAGCCAAGATCGACATCGAAACGAAACGTAGACGCTTCGGCCGCTTCATTGGCCTGCGAGGCTGTGAGAGCCCTACGACTGCCGGCCCAGAGAACGAGAGGCCAGAAGAATTGGCGCGAAGGATGGAGAGGGAATGGAGACGCGCTCTGGAGAGGGCAGCGGAGGAGGACAGGGCCTGGGAAAAGGGATGGAGGGGACGATGGTAGCGGGGTGAGACCGTGGATGCTATCGGGTTGTGTTGTTGTATTATGCTTCGAGTAACCGCAGTACACATCGTCGCAAGGTCAGAACCCTCCGCGACTGACATCCAACATTTTATATTTAGGCGTTAGATATTCATACATGTTGGCTGGACCCCGATTGAAAATGGTCGCATCAAACTCAAATCTGTCTGGGGGACACCTGGAAGACAATTCACACAATAATGAAATTCGTGATTCTGACCCCCCTGGACTCAACGTGATACCGTCTCTTGATACCGACGCCAACGGTCTTTCTGCTCAATGCATCATACACTTTCTTGCCACCTGCAACCATCACCATGGGAATTGGATTGCGGCGTGCAAGTCCACTCGGCGTGAGCTGTGGTTGATCTAGGTATGGTCTGATCAAGGAATCGTCGCCGCCCGAGCCCTGATGCTCGCCCAGATTCATGTCAAAGACTTCGTCGTTGCCGTACGAGACGATGATGACCAGTTTCAAGGATTGCGGCGACGGCGAGAAGGAAGGAATGTTTTGTAGTTTGTCGCTGAAACTGCACCCGCCTCTCTTCACGACAAGAACCTGATGACTTCTTGCCACACTGATCGGAAGCTTGTGATCGCAAAGCTCATCCGTCGCATAGATTTTGGTCCAAGTGAGCGGCGGACTCTGTGCGCCTGGTGACGGGATAGTCGATACTTCAGGCCAGTCAGGCAGAGTTGCTGCACCTGGGCCACTGGGGGTGACTGCAGGGAGATGATAGCGTGGTCTATGATCAGTCAACGAGGTCAGACTACGCTGCGTCGGAGCCGAGTTGATGGAGAACGGCGTCGAAAAGGGCCAGGCGGGTTGCGGCCGGTCTCTAATAAGGCTGGAGATCTGCGAGACAATTGCATTCCATGCCGCTCGCATCCCCCCGTCTGTCGCAGGATCAAGGTCGGGGACGTCAATGCTAAACGTGTCCTCGGAGGAATTCTGTGCCGTATGTCCTTGGACTACCGCGTTATCCAGATCCAACACAACATCGAGCATGACAGGCTCCCGGATGCAGATGAAGTTGGGATCTGCGGCGATCAGGATCTCTTTCCCAGTGTCCCGTGGGAGAAACACTTTCTCGTCCTTCCCCAATGGAATGTTGTTGATTGTTTGGACGCGAAAGGCGTCGTGTATCCCGTCTTCGGCTAACATAGGCGTGTCCTGGATCAGGCCCAGACGCATACCACCAATGAAGTTGATGAGGATGCCATCTTTCACTCGTTGGAGTGGCGGAGCCGGCTGGCCAAGGTTTGGGATTGCTGGGAACGATATATCGAGCGTCGGGCTCGTGGGAATTAACGAGGTCGTGGCATTGAAAGGAACCAGCTCTGGTGGGAGCGTCCAGGGAAAATAGGTATAGTTGGATGGTGAGCTGATATCAGATAAGGTTATGCTCGGATGGTCTGCAGCATAGTCACCGAGAACTGATTCGACATTGTGCCTGGAGGGCATCAGATGCAACCTGGCAAGATTCGCCGCGTGGTAAACGTCCCCTCTTGCCGCAACGTTTGAGACGGTGAACGGCAATGGTTCTGGCTTCACAGGACAAGTAGTCTTTTCTGTGACTGGCGCATTCCAGAGTCTGCCATGACCTTTACCCTGATCAGTTCTCCGGGGAATTATCAATGGATGGCCTTCGGTCGTGAAAACGAAGGGCTCGTCGAGGTGATTGAGAGGATGTGTGGGGTCGAAAAGGAGAAACAGATACTTTACGGTCTCCCCCAGGAAAAAGCTTTCCATTCGATCCGTTTTTTCGCCTGTCAGCACATTCTGGATGCTAGCCCAGCCACACCTCGTCCAAGACCTGCGCTTGATGTCCCGCAGCACCATCTCTCCAACATAAAGGTACCACGGATCTTCCGTTGCGCGATAAAGATAGTAGGTTGACTCGATAAACTCCGGCCGACCAACCCACCAGCCTAGGCCGCCTTCAATACCGCCGGTGATCAGGTTCCATCGTTCAGGCAAGGCAGAGAATCTTGTCCAGAGAGCCGTCTGCAGAAGATGGGTTTCCTGTGCTTCTTGTATATGACCTCCTAGAGTAAGGACACCGGGGTAGTATGCACTCAGGGCATCAACCCAGAAGCCCCTCACAGCACCGGTGACCAGATCAGCTTGAATATAGTGAGGATGCTGGTAGCCTGCGCCACGGTAGAGATGTCTCCGTATTGCGGCATGGGCGGTATTCCAGGCATCGAGAAACGCTTGAGGGCTGTCATCCTCAATCGGTAACGGTTCGAAGAGGACTCTCGGATCTTGAATATCGGCGGGATCTTCAGGTGTGGGATAGTCTTCCCTGGATAGGAGGATGTGCGACTTCAAGGCATATTCGAAGAAGCTGTCAATGCCTGCACCAATCCCGGTCCAACTTCCCATCCAGTTGCCTGTTTCAGCATCAATGCCAGACCCGATCAGATCGATACTGCTGCGTCTCGACCAGATTGCCCAGAACGCCCTCTTGGCAAGATCTTCAAAGCGGAAGTCGCCAGTCAATCTGCTCAGAACGGTGAATTCCAGGACCAAGCTGCCAGCCCCTGCACTGCAGGTTTCGGTGATCTCGGGTGGATTTGGGTGTGCTTCACACTTGCCATGCTGGGCCTGTGCATTGAGCGGAGAGTTGACGTAAAACGGGATGCCATGTCGGAGGTTGACGCGGGGATAGGGTATCCCTGTGGGTGTCCAGAAAGCAGGTATCAGTCTGTTTCCCAGGTCATACGCCAGTCTGAGGAGTTGACCATCGTATTCAAACCCATTTGACCATGCGATTCCCTCGGCTTTTCCCGAGCTCTGGTTCTTGTGCCAAGTCCTGGCGTAGGACGCCTGCTCTTTGGAAGGGGTGTATCCATCGATCGGTAGTTCCCCGACAGCAAAAAGGTGAGCACTCAGCAGACCACCAAGACCACGTATTGCCGTCTCGAAAACTTGTACCTTGCTGTCAAGGTCGAACCCTTTCGCCCTTAACCCGTGCCCAGATGGCCCATCGGTGCCATCGCCGTACTGTTCAACCAGATCGCGCACACCACTTTGAAAGAGTCGCAGAGGCTTGTTTTGTTTCGGGTTCGCAGGGTTCGAGGCTAGAATGGCCAACGTGGACAGGCTATCGATGAGTGTAAGAGAGTAGTTTCCCAAAGGATCGTTGACTTCGATATGTGCCGGGTTATCAGGGTCGCGCGTCAAGGGTCTGCAGGAAATTGGACGCAGCTCGTCTTCTGGGAAGGCATGGGCCATGTAGTTTTCGTAGCCATGATAGAAGATGTCCTCAGCTTCCTTTCTGAGGGCTGCAATCTGTCCGGGGGGCAGGGCCTGCACAGTCGCTATTGAAGCTAGACTGACGATGAGCAGAACGAGGTAGATGCCTCTCAGCCATGACCTCATCCGCAATATGGGAAGGAGAGTGAATAAAGATATAGCTGGAGGCGTCACATCCTGGCTAATCATGCACATGGCACACTCAGGAAGTGTTGTGCCAGTGAGCGCATGTCAAACATTACCATTCGCATGCGACCTTGAAGAGAGGACAGTTCCAGATTCCCTTCCCTAAGAGGGCATGGCATGGGCATGAAGACGGGAAATCATGCCATTTTCGAGGTACTGGTGATAGCTCTCGCCATTGGCTGGGGTTCACGCAGTAAAGTAAAGCGGCACGGGTCATTTGGCGGCTTAGGTGCTTAGGGGCTTAGGGGCTCAGGGTTAGGAGGGCTCCTGAGGCCCTTAGGCAAGGATCGAGCCCCTAAGCCCCTAAGCCTCGACCTCGGGGTTCTCGGCGTTTACGAATGACCAACTTGAAACTCTCCAGCGACGCCATAACAGCACCTAGTGCTCTGTACTCTGTACACTGGCTTGGTTTGTAAGCAGCTAGACTGAAAGATTCACAGGTCGGTCTATAGCCGTTCTTATCTCTATGGCCGGCAGACGAAGCCCGATTCGCCGGTGGACGCAGGCCGATGGTGAATGAGAAGACTATCTTATAGATACGTACTGACGGGCAACGAGGCAAAGAAAGTACTAGGTACAAGATCGAGAAGTTTCTGACCATCTTATCCCAACGAGCTGATCACCTGTCTTCTTCCGCATAAATAAGTGGGAAGCCTCGCTGCTCTTTGCATGTTAGACATCTATTCCTTAGACTTGCACACAACGATAACTCGGGAGGACAAAAATGAAAGTCCTACTCACAGGAGGAACAGGATTTATTGCCACTCATGTGCTAGATCAGCTCCTCCAGCATGGGTACATACAACAAAGCTACGGAGCTGTTGTCGTAAGATCGTGCTGACCGATATCACTAGGCACCGCGTTGTCACGACCGTCCGAAGTGTTGAAAAGGGACGTATCCTTTTAGACCTCTTCAAAGGCAGACCGGTGTCATATTCGGTTGTCGGAGACATCGCCATTGAAGGAGCGTTCGACGCGGCGGTCAAGTCAGATCCGCCTTTTGACGCCGTGATACACACTGCCAGTCCTTTCCACTACAATGTCACGGACAACAAGAAAGACATGATTGACCCTGCGGTGCTTGGAACCACCGGCATTCTCAAAGCCGTCAAGTCGTTCGCACCTTCGGTCAAGCGAGTGGTCATCACGTCATCCCTGGCCGCCATGAACAACACGAAGCACCCACCAAAGGTGTATAACGAAGAGATCTGGAACGAAATGACGATGGAGGAAGCGCTGACCACGACCGATGCGCAAGCGGCGTACCGAGCGAGCAAGACTTTTGCGGAGAAGGCGGCGTGGGAATTTGTGCAAACGCAGAGCCCGAATTTCTCTTTGACCGTCCTCAATCCGCCCATGGTTTATGGTCCGATCCTTCATCACATTGTATCGCTGGATGAGCTGAACACTTCGAGCAAACGCATCCTCAACCTCATACATGGTAAGCCCCGCAGTGGTCCAGTGGGATCCCCGGTTTATGTGGATGTGCGTGATTTGGCCTTGGGCCATGTCCTGGCGATAGAAAAGCCTGAAGCTGCTGGACAGAGACTCTTCCTCACCGCTGGCATGGCGACCGAGAAGCAGATGGGCGACATCATTCGAAACACCTTTCCCGATATTGCGGGCAACTTGCGGGATGACCTCGTAGCTGATCTCCCGCCTTACGGTATTGACAATAGCAAGTCGATCAGGCTTCTGGGTATTAAGTATCGCAGCATGGTTGAGACGATTGTCGATACGGTAAAGTCGTTACAGAAGCTCGGCGCCTAGAACTAGATGCTATTCCGAAAGGTGCTAGTAATCGGTCTTCTTAATGAAATTCTCACAACAAAGATTCCGTTCACTTACGTTGTGTCATGGCGCCGGTGACCGCCATGGTAAGATATCAACGGTCCGGACCACGAAGCACAATGTGCGGGAACTCAAGTCTCTTGGTTTTGGGCGTTCCCCAAGCGGCTATAGAGCTCCTACGACATGTTGAGCCTTGGAGCCATCTCATTTATATCACGGTCCAAAATCTTGGGAACCAACCTAATGGCCCGACTGAATTTTTCACCCGCAGGTGCTCGTCTCTCAAGGCACCGGATCGAGCGTATGCATCTATCAGCGAGTCTGGCTAACAATGACAGCCTCGAAATGGCCAATCGTGTGCCCGAAATCCCCACTGGTGTTTCCAAGCATGAGGAAGATTGTCACAGCTGCTAGAGCCAGAAGACACGATGGCACTTGAACATCGATGATGGTCGTTATCTCATGCTTTTTCTCAAGGCAGGAAGTCGCTCGTTTGAAATGTCCGGCACTCGTGAATATCGTGAATATCGTGAATATCGTGAATATCGTGAATATCGTGAATATCGTGAATATCGTGAATATCGTGAATATCGTGAATATCGTG